TTCGAAACGATTTTGAATATTGAGATCAATAACCAACGGAAAAGAAAAAGAAAATATGAAACCAAGATGGGACAAAGGTAGAAAGAAAAAAAAATCAGAAACTTACTATGGAGATGGACAGCCAAGCTACCATAGGGAACGAAGTCATGAACCAGCAGCTTCTCCTCCTTCCTGTAATAGTAAGCAACAAGCGGCAACAAGTTGGTATGCTTCAGCCTCCCCACGCGCCGCATGTGCTCGTGGAACTCCTCCCTCCCAACATTGTTCATCTGCTTGAACCTCTTCACCACCATCACCTGCCCGGAAGTCAGCGCCGCCTTGTACGACGAGCCGAAGCACCCTGCTCCCAGTATCTCCGCCGACGCCTTCAGCAGGTCGGTGAGCTCGAACTTCCCCCTATCCTCCCTCACGAACGACAGCTTCACCGCCTCCGCCGCCGCCGCCGACTTCTTCCCTCCTCCTCCGGCCGCCACGCGGCTCTCCTGCTTCTTCGGCGCCCGCGGGTTCGGGTCGTCGGGCTGGATGTCCGGCACCCCCGGGGTGCCGGCCTCGATCGACTCCGGGGGCTGGTGGCGGCGCCGCATCAGGATGAACGCGGCGGCGAGGATCCCGCATACGGCGAACCCGCCGACGATGGCCACGAAGACGATGCTCGCCGTCGACGGCTTCCAGTAGCCGGTGGCGGCAGCGGCGTGACTGGTCGGGTCGTCCGGGTCGGTCGGGTTTGCGGCGCCGTCGGTTTGGAGGAGGCTTGACTTGGAGTTTGAGGCGGCGGCGGCGGCAGCCTTTGCCGCCGTTGGGGCGGCGGCGTCGGATGGGGCGGGAGCGGCGGTGCATTCGCCTAATGGTTTTCCACATAAGCCTTTGTTCCCTGCGCTCTCACGTGTTCATCAGCATTCAGTGGCGCAATCAAGATTTCGTTTTAGATAACTTTTAACAGTTTTACAATGCTCAACAGAGTATTTTTCATATTGTGAAAAACTTAAAAAAAGACACATTCATATAATAGCAATCTTATTAATTCTATCAGAGAGTATTCTATGATTTTATTAGTTCATCAAACGAAATGAGCGAAGAGTGTTTTTATGTAACTGATCATTGTAAATCTTCATTCAAAACTTGCGGAGAAGGCAGGTAGCGATAACACTAAGTTGCTTCTTTTGATGTTCATGATCCTAAAGGTCTAGGAGTTTTTGTTTAGTTTTAGAAACTTCTTGTAGTCTTCTCAAATCATATGTATAATTTACGTTCAAAATCTAAAAATGATTATCAAAGAACTCATTATTAGGTTAAAAGAAAGATAACAGATTCGGTGGAAGAAGAGTAATATGTAACTAAAATTCTAAGACTTGAAAGATGGAATCTATTTGATTTATGGAAAAACTAGAATATATTATATGTAAATAATGATAAAACTAAGTTCATTATAGTTTAATTGTTAAAATATTGGCTAGTATTAATGAGATTGGGGTGTAATTTCACCGTCCGCTAACTATATTATCCATGGTTATTCATTTCTCTTTCGAGGCAAAGTGGGTCCCAGAACCCGATGCATTGGTTCCGACATTTATCATTCATGGAAAAGAAACATTCAGCATGTTCAAGAAAACAGAGGAAATTTTACCAGAAAATGCAGATGGATCAAGATTGGCAAGGCTAGCAGGGATTGGTCCTTCCAGCTTATTATCGGACGCGTTGAAATCCTCGAACTTGGCAGTGAATTCAGGCAACCGCCCCGTGAATTCGTTCTGTTCGAGCCTCAAATTGGTAAGCTTGGACAACCCAGCTAGCGACGAAGGGATTTCCCCTGTAAACTTGTTACCAGACAGGTACAATTTCTTCAGCTTGGTCATTCCTTGAAAAGCATCCGCAGGAATCTCGCCGGAGAATTGGTTGTTGGACAGGTACAACGCCCTCAACCCGCCAAGTTTCTTGAAATCCGGCAGGGGGCCATCAAACGCATTGTCCATGAGGCTCACAGTTTTCAGCTCCTCGAGTTCCGCCAGGCTGTCCACGTCGATCTTCCCTCCGAGCCCCATCTTCTCCAACTGTAGGCCCAAGACCAGGCCTTCGTCGCAGATCACGCCGATCCAATTGGCACTGTCCCCATCGCACACCACGTTGTTGTCGGCCCAATCGGCGAGGGCCTTGGCGTTGGCCAGGGAGGCCTTGAACTTGAGGAGGCTCTCGGAGTCGGTGAGCCCCCACGAGGGGACGAGGTGAAGGGAGATGATGAGCAGGAAGAACAACGATTTCTCGACGATATCGTGGTTGTTCTTGTTAGTACGTCTATGGCGAGGAGCCATAGTATCGTCTTCCTCGTCGGAGGACGAGGTTGAGTCGTCGATTATGAAGGGCGGAACACGCTGTAAAGGGGCGGCGTGTTCGCCCTTTACTGGCATGAGGAGCCTTCAACGTGGCGAGGTACCACCGAAGAAGGGATTTTCGTGTTGAGGGGGGTGACGGTGAGGGAAATGGAGGGGGGAGAAGGGAGGTTGGGGAAGAGAGGAAAAGGTTGGGATGGAATGAGGGGTTTGTCTTTTGAATGTAATGGCATGGGAGAATAAGAATAGCAGGAGAAATGAGAAGAGAAAAGAGAGAGAGAGAAACAAAGGTGGAAAACAGAAAACAAGGGAGAAAAGAGGGGGTGAATCTATTGTGTTGAGAAATGCGGTTCACCCAAATCTCTCTGTTTAGTTGTTTTTTGTGGGAGGAAGTTACGGCTCTCCTTTCAAATGTTTTTACGCTCTGATTGTAACTGGATATACTCGTCTTCTTAAAAACTAGCATCGGGCCCGACCCTTTGGCTGGGAGAGATTAGATCGGGAATATGGTATATAATATGAATAGGATAGGTGTTCGTAAATACATACATGTAATGTTTGGCTATGCATCTTGTGCTTAGAATATAATAAAAAGAGAAAAAATAAGATATAAAAAATTGGTATAATTATTCAATGAGGGAAGAAATACATATAACTATTTTTCTCTTAATCCTTGAGTAGACGATAAAGTTGAATATCAGAGGTTCTTTCCATAATACATACGTAATCAACCTTAAAAAAGAAAGAAAAGTATTGGTCTGTGATATAATTCAATATTCTCATGAAGTGTTTTCCCCCAATAGAGAGCATCCGTGGTGCTCATAGTGCGGTTGACGGATGTGAAGTTGCAGGTTTTGAAATATATATGAAATTATACAAAGTTGTGACTAATAGTTAGTTAGACAATGTATTGTGCACGGGTGATTGCCCAAATGACTCTCAGGTTGCAAATATGACCATCATTGATGTAGTAATTTTCCTACAAAAAATATGTATTTATTGATGAAATAAAAATAATAAGAATAAAGAATAAAGATTTATGAATATATAAGATTACAGTGAAGATAGGTCCACGTGGAAAATGACGATTTGCAAACATTTTACCATGGTTTAAGAGATAATCAAAATGAAGTTATGTCTACAATTGAACAAATGTTGGGACGTTATTTGGCAACTTCATAGGAGTCCTCTTTAATAATATTTTCATTCCCCTAAGTTTGCCATAAGCAATAACAAATACCAAAGTTGGGTTGTTTGGAGGTTGGGATTCTCCAAATTGATGTATTTAATCAGTGTATTATAATTTGATATATTGGTGAAATGTATGAATTTGAAAAATACATTGTTTGGAGGTTAGATTATGCTTTGTTATAAATAAAAAAGTAGAGGGTAAACAATCCTTTGGGCACAATCTCACATTTTGGTAGAGATTGACAATCACTCATTTTGAGTGATTATAGGTGGGCCTAGAAAAAGGTAATACATGTATTATGTCACAAATTTAACCAAAAAAAGACTTAATCTTGACATTACATGCATTAGCTAAATACATTACTTGAAATCCCAACCTCCAAACGACCCATTAACTTTAATTGAACATGAATATATTTATAATATTCATAAGATCATTTACTTACAGGTTTAACAAATGGTGGAATGAAAGATAATTCAAGTTGAAATATAAATTGGATGTCGGAGATGCAGTAAAGTAATACTTCCCTAGCAACGATAATAAAAACAACTTAGTAGTTGAATTATGTTGTACTGAAGTAAGTACATAGACCACAGTTGATTGAGGTTGATTGAGTATTACAACTTCAAATTTAGAAATCAAGGAGTCTTTTAGTACTATTTTGATCAAGGCCCCCTAATACACATGAGGTGATAATATGAGATGGATAGAATATCTAAAACAAATAAATAGACTACAAATGACAATAATAGTCAAAGGACTCAATCTAATAGTTTTAGGTGTACATTTTTTAACATTTCATGGAAAGGGCATACAGAAAAGTTGAAAGGATGTTTGTGTATGGTGAATTTCGCCAACCAAAACTGTGACAATAATTGCGGATTATAAGTTTTACAGTATGATATAGAAATTCCATACTATAAGTGCATGCATGGGAATTCTTTTCCAAAAAGGAAATAAAAATCCAAATTTTAAATTCCAACAATACCAAAGCCTCCCAAAATACACTAATCTAGATAGCAAGTGTTCCATGTAATTCAATTTTTTTTTTTTGTGTGTAATATTTCAAATAGATTAGATAGCGTATAAAACTTAGTTCTAATAGTCGAATAAAAACATGACATGGTTTGTAATTAATTAATGAACAAATGAGGGGGTTAAAGGGCCTAGTTCCAATTATGAGCTCTAGTATGTTTTTGGTTAGTACAACTTTTAATATTCTAAACACTATCTATCACGTATTTTTCTATGAATATCATCTAGTTATTTACAAATGTCTAATGAGTAATGAGTCTTAATCATAATAAATTAGTTTATTACGTACTATTAATTTATTTTTCCCTTTTTCTTTGTCTAGCCACGTTTAGGACTTATGTCTGCAATGTTTAAATTCTTTAACTACCACTAATTTTATGTTGTCAAAGACAGGAATACCTACGAACCATCATCAGTTCATCATGGAAAGAGCGAAACACATTAAAATTACTTTCCATAGTCTCCATACAGTGACCAAAACAGAAGGATATTTAAGATTGCAACTCGTTAGTTGTAACCTCTTAACACAAGGGGGGAAATGACAAGTGTAGCTTGTAAGTTGTCAAAAGAAAAGCCCTATACGAGCATAAGTTTCACAGTATACCCTACAAGAAAAGCTCTGACTCTGTGAAAGAGATAATAACAACATCATGGAATGATGCAGTTACGGGGGTCGAATTCAGCATACCCTACATTAACCATACACAAACCTTCTGGAGGAGCAGGCGGAGCAGTGGCCCTTCGACAGGTAGCATCCATTAGCTTTAGCAGAGCATCATCTTCTGCGCCAGCAGCTGCCTCCCTTATCGATGTCGCAACAAGAACTCGAACCATCTGTTTCACCCCACCAGCAAAAGGTCACGTGGCAGTTCAGGTTTGAAAGCAAAAGTAAATTACTTGTTGAAGGAATAACAATGGTTAGGCGAATCATGGTAGTGGCTTGAGAAGCTACGAGGTGCGAAGTTAAATGAGCATGGGATCCGATTTCGTCCACATCCCTAGGATGGAACATGGCGATTCTATAAAATCGTCTCGAAACTAGCTTACTGGGAATGACCCGTGTCATGGACGTAGTAATATGAGGTCAACATGGGGTGCCATAACCAAACGTGGTGCTAAGTTTGATGCATACCCTGCGCAGGAAGCGATTCGCAACCAGTTCTATACACATAACTGTTCTTCCAGCTCCAGGATGCTGCAAAAGTGGACATTCCATTGCAAATTAACATCACAAAGTCAGGAATGTGTTTCGCCAAATCGTCCCATTTCTCGAAGATGAGTTTCAGAATGGTTGGTAGAAGTAAAATTTGAGAGAAAATCTGGTTAAGAAACATTTACAGGTTGCGGTATAGTGGCTTCTGCAGCTCGAGCATGATACATATAGCACTCTGTTGGAGGACCTCTGCAACATAAATATGGATATGTTAGTAATAAAGTATAGCTAACTGCACATTTCACCATTTATAATTGAGGCAACACTTCTATACAGGTAAAAATGACTTTCTTTCTTCTTTCATGAAGGTAACATCAACCTTTTTTTTAGCTCTCCCTGCAACTAACTACCCAGTGAAGCTAGTAGCCCAAAGTTAAATCCTCAAACATGCTCTTATAACCAAACAAGAGATGCTCTGAGCCAAAAAAAGAAAGAAAGGGTAACAAAAAGGTTGACCTGGAGCTCTAATTACAGAATCTATCAAAATACTAGTCATGGACTGGTAGATAAAATAAATGCAAAACAATCATTTCATTCGTAAATTACAAAAGCAAAGGGAACTTTCAACATGGCTTACATGCTTCTGGAAGCCTTTGTGTCACGAGCAAAGATTCTGTAGGACAATAACTTCCCCTCTAGTTGCTGCAGAAGTCTGTTAACCTTGCACACAGTAAATGTACTAGATTTCTTTGGACCTTGGAGCTCACCGTCATCCCTGACTATTAAGTTGTTATCATCCCCCTCCCATCTGAGCTCATCAGAGACATCTCTTTGCCCTCCATAGTGTCCATTCTCAGTCAAAATGTTCTCCTCCTCTCCGCATCGCAAGCTGGGCTCTCTGTTTTCACCGCCATTGAAAGGAAAAATATACAAGTACCGCCTCCATTTGGCTGAAAAATTGGGATGGAATGAACGTGAAACCTGTGGCAGGTTAACAAAAGGATGTGAAAAGGAATTGGGGTGACGCATTTTACTGGACCGGTATCCAACATAAATTTTCTACTTTTTTTCTTCTTCTTAATATTGATAAGTCATGATACCTCAGAGATTGATACAGCCCTGAATTTCCCCGGTGCTGTGCTGTTGATAACATCTTCAATGTCCTGAATCCTAATATCCTTCCTCCATGTATCTTACAACAGATGTGAAAAGAATCATGACAATGAGAAAACAGCTTCTACAAAAATTTGAACATGATGGAAAGAATTCTGAAGAAACTGTGAAAAAGTCGATGCATAGTGAAGTAGAACATTCATCAATTTCTCTTTTTTTAAATAATGGGACAAACTATGTAAAAACTACTCTCATTTCCTCCAATCACTGAACTGAGGAGCTAATTGGTAGACTTTGAGTTTTACCAACAGATAGCTTTTACCAAGTTACATAGATAATGAGCAAGACATCAATTATAATTGTGGGGCATGGCTTTATGAAACCCGAGAGATGGGAGGGAACCCTACAATGCTACGGCATCTCAAATAACTGCTAATCAGACAGACACCATAACACAGATCTCTGCCTTGAACTTAAGAGAAAATATGATAGCCTAAGCCAAACAACTAAACTTAAACTAATTGTCTAGAAGTCGAAGTCGAAAGTCTTAATTGTCTAGAACTGAACCACTTCAAACTACCACCCTCCTACAAATCATCAATATGTATAAATGAGAATGATTTAACTGGCAAGGCTCGACTAGGTCCTTCGGTATCATTTTATCCAGTACACTAATGATCGGTAAATATGATTCAACCTTAATAGAACAGGTAGAAGTTCTTTCCCCAGCAACTATTAGCAACAGATGTTGAGAAGCAGTTAACACGTAAAGGGGATATTTAATAACATACAGAAAGAACAAACTTGCTGAAGAGCGGAGACTCCTTTGTCCGTGCGGCCAGCAACAGCAGCACACCCTTCTAATGGCTTGGATTTTTCTTTAAGTAGTTGAGCTTTCCTCTCATCGACAAATCTACCCAAACACTGTTCTACTAATCTGTTCAAGAAAAGTGATAACCCAAGTTCTGTTAGACCTTAACTGCACAAATGGAAAATTAGAATTAAATAGGCATTGCCTGTTACTAATAAAGAAAAAACAAGCAGAACCCTCACAGTCGATCCAGATCAATTAAACAATTATAACTTTTGATTGATTTAAGGGAAGCAGAGTAACATTAAGGACAAGACCATTAGCAGGGGGAGAGTACAAAACTACGTGTATATTCTTAGAATTGCAATCATTTAATCATAAAACAAAGGGTATGTCCCTAAATTGTTTAAAAGTAACTTCACAGCAGTCTCTTGATGGAAAAGAGTAAATACATATGAAGGCAATAACTGTTTCCTGGTACCCTCTATGAGTTTCATCAATACTATAAAGAAGTGTGCACAAAGTTAAGCAGATTTTCTATCATAAGAGACAGGACAGTAAACCCCAACACAGGAATACATCTATCAACAAAAAAGCATACTAAGGTACATATATTAATAGGGAAAAGCCTTACCCCTGAACCGTGTTCAAACCAGGTTGCTTCTGCCAACCGTCAAATGAACACCCATGATAAGAAAGAACTATCTTGAATGTCACTCTTTCCAACCTCCCAGATCTATCTTCCTTCAAAGTGCCCTCAAAGTCGGTTCTATTGCAAACTTCAGATAGTTTAGCAACATCAAGATTATTATGTGTCTGCATAGGAGATTTGTCTACAATGAAATGTAAGAAACCAAGAGGATAAGAAAAAAACATATGAATCCTAGAATTATAGTATTAGGGCATAGTATTAGGATCAAATGAAATTTATAACCTCACACAAGGCAGTCTTGTAAATTTTGGAATAAGCAGCAGTTTATTCCACCTACCAGTTGAGGTAAGGACTTAAAGGTCAAGAAACTGCAGCACGCCAGCACCTAATCTAATGTTCACACCCGGTACCCGGGGATGGTAGTAGATTCACTAGCCACAGTTAAATTGCATTGTTGACCACGAAAGAGAAGCATGGTTCATATCCAATTGCAACATGAACATGCTTCAGAGACCCGCATTAATCAATATGTTAAAACAAATGAACTTGATGAAAATCTAACCAGCACCACTAATTAGTACGAAGTGAACTTCAACCGAAAACTCACAAGAAACAGAACAAAACACCAAGCACCCACCTGAACTTCATCAAACAGTTGCAACAGTGACAAGTTCCCATTCACCACATTGGAATAGAAGTCGGCAACTTCTTGCCAGGGCCGACCGTGCATGAACTCAAAGCTTTCCCTGCACGGGGAAAAATGCATTGTCAGTAGAAAGCTCATAACTTCTGATCGAATTCCATAAGAGTGAAAAGGAATAACAGACAAAAAAATGTACTAAATGAAGAAGGGCACCTAATCATCTTATTACACACCTTGTTGTCCATCTCGCGAATTTGCAGGGATCGGTGTGGTTGTAATGGAAATAGACCTTGTTGTCTGATTGTCTCTGCTCTTTAGCCATTGTGGTTCCACAGAATCTTGCAATACGCTGATATCTGGGGAGTAATTTCCCGATGTGAACAGAATTCATGAGCGTGGCATTGCGCCCTTAAACCCTAATCTAACGAAATACAAAAACAAGAAAGGGCTTTCTCTCCCGCACTCGATTATTACTACGCAGACTATATAGTTGTGGCAGTGTTCGTGTTAGTCCTTAAACTTGTGTTATCTAGAATTAAAGCTTCTATCAAAATCCAAATTGTACAAATTAGTCCTGGTATTTACAAGACTTCTTTTTATAGAAGTCTTCTCGATTCTGGTATTTAGAAGATTTTTTAAATATTTTATTCGTTGAATAATTTTCAGATTATTAACCTTAGTGTTTTTATTCAGTACCTAGGTCCTAGTAGGCTCGAAAGTTTGATTGTTTGGATGATGGGATTGTGATTTGTGATCGTGGAAGTTAGGCTCAAAATTTGGAGAAATTTTACAATGCTATATAGTATTGGTGCTATAGGGTTTTGCTTTTATGGTACAACTTAAAATTGTACATTTACGTTATGGTACAATTTTAGATTGTACCTATACTTTTTGTACAAATTCTTTTATGGTACAACTTGAACTTGTACATTTATGTGATGGTACAACTTCAAGTTGTAAAGTTTACCATAACATAATGGTACAAATTGCTTTATGGTACAACCTAAGCTTATACATTTAATGTTATGGTACAACTTTAAGTTGTACATTAAAGCACCAATACTATATAGCATAGTATAAGTGCTCCAAATTTTGGGGTTTTACCATAAGATTTTATTGTTTTGAATTAATGTGTTTATCTAGTTGATTTGTATGTTATTTTATTTTTTATTGTGTTTGGGTAAGTCGCCCTAATTTTTTCTACTAGCCTATTTAAGCTTCTACGTTGGGTATGGAGTTTTAGGTTTTGACGGGTATGCGTCATCAAGTAAATTGAGGTTAGATGTATGAATATGATCCTATGGTGGTCGAGGCGACCGAACCCCTGCCATAGGAATGCCTTCCTAGATAGAACCCGAGATGAAAACTCGATGTGGACGGTGGGTAGTACCCATTGAAAGGAGCTACGAGCTTAATGCCCCAAATACGATAGCCTAGATCGAGGTGACTTTACATGGGTTTAGGAGAGACGTACTCGGAGGCGTGTGGGTAACCACGAAAGCTCACGGATAAAAGCTCACTCGCCACATTCGACAAACCCTAAGTATCTAGACATTGCATAGTAGTCCTAAACTAGGGTGAGAGATAGTTCCCCGAAATACCTGCTTTTATCTTTATTTGCCCTCTTAACTGGTAGTTTGATCATATCCTCCAAAACAATCCCTTAAACGGATTGGCTAGATAACAACAATGTGGGAAATAGGCTAGGGTACCAGGACCCGAGTGAATACGACCTTGTTCGCCACTATACGGTAACGCCATTTTAGCTAAACTTGGCCTAGGTTGGGGTAGTTGTTGACACGTGCTAACCATTGAAAATAATCTACACAGGTGAAAATTGATCACATTCTCATATAATCAATTTCGAACTAGCTATACATAGAAGAGAATGAGGGTTTCCACTATTGATGATGAAGGCATCTCTTTAGCTGCACCCTCTCCTACAAATGCTAAGCTTTCATTATACCATAGTGTCTACAGAAGTTTTGAATGAAATTATGCAGTCTACAGAACTAATTAGTCTAGCTCTCTATTTATGGTGGTATAACTCAACCAAAACCTTACTAACCCTACCAGGACACAGTTTCTTCGACTTGGGGTCGAAGCATGGCCTAAAGATCTCTTTTTAGCCCTTTGGGTGGCGGTAGGAACCTTCGCTGGTTTTCTTCGTGGGATGGACTCCTTAGCTCACAACTCACAAGCAACCTCTTCTAAAGATTTTGTCGCAATTTATCCACGTATACTTGGGCGGTGTTTGGACCCAATGCTAAGTTAGGGCCGCTCGTTCATGCTTCAGTTAGGGCCGAGTATTCCTCCATTGGGCTCCTCTTGGGCTTTACTTGTGGTTACTGGTAGGCTTCTCCATCATTAGACCTTGTCTTTAACGTGAAAGCTCCTTGAACTTCTCTCTTTAGCTCCTTTAGTCCTCTAGAATCATCTAATGTTTGATCCAAATTCTCCTAGGTTGTTTTGTACCTTGAAAACCATTAAAAAACATATCAAGAAGGCATCAAAGAGTATGAGAGGTCGTATGAGAAAACTCAGTGATAGAGTATTTTCCTCTGAAATCGTGGCTAAATAATTTCATAGCTCAAAAACCTACTATCGGCTGGACTCCGATATACGAATTTAGGATAAAATTCTTTTTGTTAACCGGATTTCTAACAAAATCTCTGACGCGGTTCACATAAGGTCTTTTCCCCATTCAAATCCTCAAATTTACTACAAATTAAAAAGTAGCACTTGCTATAGTTGATCTATTTCCCGATTTCCATATATCCTAGTTACAACTTACAATGTCGTTAAATATTTTTTCTATGTCTAAATTGAATATATTTATCGTTAAATATCTCATTCTTCCACCATAAATGGAAAACATGAACAAAGACCAAGATCGCGCCTATCACCATTTCCCTCCCATTCTCCCCTGCCTATTCTTGTAAGCATTTTTTTTTTTCCAGAAACAGGGAAAATCTATTTCCCTCCTACAAAACAGAGGCTAAATCTCAACTTCTTCTTCCGCCAAAAACAAGAAAAAAGTCTAATCTTCTCTCATTCGTCCTGCTAGAGTGCCGACGGCGGATCCCCGGCTGGCCCTCTTCGGCTTGGATCCGGCAATGTGTCGCGTGCCTCGCCCCTGAAGACGAAAGAAGAGGAATGACATAAAATCTCGATGGAGAAACCGATCACTGCCTCTGATTCGCATTCGCAAGAGAAGAGGCGGTTGAATTTTGCTTGCCATCATCATCGAATCATCGTTGAGAAGAGGAGGTCGCATCGCCCTTAGTCGTCGTCGTCGAGGTCCAATCTCCACTAATCCCCCCCTCTGTTTTCCATCGCTGCGCGCGGAGGTTAGAACAAGTGAGGAATTTGATTCATCGCCACCGCCAATCCCCAATTCCTCTCGACGAATCCGACTGATCAACCATGAATCCCTTCAACAGATTTTTCGTCTTCCGGGTCAACTCGTTCTCCCTCAACCTTTTCTATTTCCTCTTCCTCTCCTTCGCCGGCTACTGGATCCTCATCTACCTCGGGACCCGGCCGGGCGCCGACGTCCCACGGACCATCGACTACGTCTTCACCGCCGTCTCCACCGCCACCGACTCTAGCATGTCCGTCATCGAGATGGAGGCCTTCTCCAACTCCCAGCTCCTTTTCATGACCTTCCTCATGTTCGTCGGCGGTGAGGTCTTCGTCTCCGTGGTCGTGCTCACGCTGAAAGCTTTTCGGGTGAGGACCAAGTCACGGATGGCGGCAGAGGAGGAGGAGAAAAGCAGGGCCACCCCAACCTCGAGTCCACCCGGTGATCATCGTCACGAGCTGGAATTGAGCGTTGGAAAGGATGATAGAGCTCCATCCCCGTCGTCAATCGACGATCAAGAACGAATTTTGGAGTCCAAATCGGTCCAATTTCTAAGCTTCATCTGTCTGTGCTACCTGATCGTAATCCACATTTTTGGGGTTGCTCTGCTTTCTGCGTACGTCACTCTGTCTCCCAGCGCGAGCAGAGTCTTGGAGGATAAAGGGATAAAAAGGTTAACTTTCGCCCTCTTCACCGCGGTCTCCACTTTCGGGAGCTGCGGATTCATCCCCACAAACGAGAACATGATCGTGTTCAGGCATAACACCGTGATGCAGCTGATTCTGATCCCCCAGGTTCTGATGGGGAACACCATGTTCCCGCCCTGCCTCCGTCTCTGCGTCTGGCTCACCGGGAAATTGTGGAAGGCGAAATCGGACTGCACCGAGTACCTGTTGCGGAAAAGCAAGAGGATCGGATTCTACCACCTCCTTCCCGGGCGGGAATCGGCGTGGCTGACGGCCACGGTGGTGATATTCCTGGCGGTTCAATTCGCTCTGTTCTTGGGGACGGACTGGTGGTCGGAGGGTCTGATCGGGCTGAACACGGTGGAGAAGCTGGTCGGGGCTCTGTTCCTGACGGTGAACGCTAGGCATTCCGGCGAGACCATCGTTGATCTCAACACCATTTCCGCGGCGTCTCTTGTGGTGTTCGTCGTTATGATGTGAGTACTCTCTATCGCTCTCCTTTTCTCTATATGTCTTCTTCTTGTGTTGCTTTTGCTGAGTCGGCATCTTGAGTCTGTTGACCGCTACGAGAAAAGTTTGTTCTTACATAGAGGTTATCTAATAATTCACACAAACTATATTTACATTGAAAAAACCCTACCGTATCGGCAGGCCGATCGAATTTCTTTTTAACGACGTATAAATTGGTAAGCGATTTTTAGAGAAAATTTGATTGGACCATGCTTAAACCAGAATTGCATCATAAAATATCCTATCATTGATTTTTCCGGTACGACCTCTGGTACTTCTTTAAAATTCTTGGTTACATCATCTATTTTTTTAGGGGATATATAAGAATGCATGAAAAATTGATTGATTTGTAGATGAGAATAGTGAGAGAGTTTGAAAAAAAATAGACCATTCTAAAAAAAAGACCACGTTTATAAATATAGTGAATTTCGTGAATAACTAGTAGATTTACGTAAAAATATAGTTTTTATACGTGAACAATGCGATATCTCATAAAAGAAGAGCATATACCTTTTGAAATTTGAAAAATATTTTGACATATATGACTGCACCATGAGGACTTTTTTAATGAATCAGACTCTCTTCCATTTCATCAAAAGAAAAGGGTGCTAGAAACATCCTTTCCAACTAGGCATATCCATTAAAATATTGGAGACACATCAATACCAAAAAGCTAACAACATAAGCATTTTCTGTACACCCTCATGGTAAAAAAACTTAATTAAGAAACTGAATCCGAAGAAACCCAGTTTTTGGCAGCATCATCTTCCTGTAGCAGCACTAGAACTTCACTCCTAAATCCTAATTACCCTCCCCAAACCTTCCACACTTCTAGTGGCTCCTTCAAGCGATCTTATACATCTCTCCCTCGGATATGACTAATCATGGATTGTCAAATAAGTCTTTGTCCTGCATCCACACTTTTTTTCCAAAGTGCAAAGTTGCCCATTGCAATGAGTCTTCCGAGTCCCTAGAAGAAAAAACCATTAAATTTCCCAAGCAGTGCCATAAAATCTCTCTATAATACACACTGAGAAAAGATGTGATCCCTCTGGCACCTGATTGCACAAAATACAAATGTCAGAGCCACAAAAGCCTAATTTTTTCATTCTATCCTTAGTCTGGATCCTATCTTTGATGATAAGTCATACTACGAACCAAATTCTTGGGATTAAAAGAGTCTTCCATTAGGACTTATTACATGGAGAACGATTAGATAGTTTATTTTGGTTATGTTTATCTATGCAATTCATTTGAAATTTTATATATAAATTTGATTGTAACCTCAATAAATTTTTAAAAATAAAATATATAAATTTTATTTAACAAATACCAATGTAATTTACATGCAATGGCAAGTAAATAAGATATAACTAAGAAAATGTTTTTCGCAACCAAATGGACAATCCAATTGCATACAAGTCCAACAAAGAGAACTTCAAATCACACAAAAGCACTACGCAAAGCCAAGATCTCAACCAGAACCGCTCCCTCTAGACCTTATCACTAATGACAATACTAATTTTGTCTTTCCCCTTTGTATAGGTACCTTCCGCCCTATACGTTCTTCCTTCCCATGAAGGGAGGGCGTGAAGTGGCAAAGACCAACAATCAAGGAGAAAGCGTTAAGTACATGATTCAAGACGGTCATAATGATAACACTACTGGTGAAATCACAAGGCCGAGAATAAAAGGAGGAGTTCATCATGGTCACAATAACAACAAGTTTATCGAGAATTTTATAGTCTCGCAACTCTCCTTCTTATCAATATTCATTATTTTGATATGCATCACCGAGCGGCAAAGTATAGTAAAAGATCCCCTCAACTACAACGTTTTCAACATCATCTTCGAAGTCATCAGGTTTGTACAGTTTTCCTTCTAATCTACAACTATCTCCTTGCGATATGGACCGTTTATGGTTATGTCATGTCGCACGTGAAGAATCGTACCGTTTTCACAGCACTAATTTACTGTTTTTATACTTATGATTGTGCACAGTGCATATGGGAATGTCGGGTTCTCGATGGGATACGGGTGCAAAAGGCAGATAAATCCCAGTGGGGATTGCCAGGACAAGTACTACGGCTTCTCTGGGAAATGGAGTGATGAGGGCAAAATCGTTCTCATTCTGGTCATGTTGTTTGGAAGGCTCAAGAAGTTCAACATGGACGGAGGGAAAGCTTGGATACTTCTCTGATCAATGGAACGACCATAATTTGTATCTCACCGATGTTCTGTCTAAAGCAAAAAGAGAGTTGATAATTAATATTGGTAGCAAAATGTCGAGTAGATATAAGAAAGATTGTAAATGTACAAGACCATTTTTCAGTATATATTACCGACACTTGAGTTATGATGTGTAGTCCCGGTCAAGTTTTTTGGTTTGTTTTTACAGTAATTTCAATCTTTTATTCCACCAACCAAAACAAAGTTATACTTATCAAAAAATTAGGTCAAGAATACTAATCCAGTTATCTGGAAGAGAAGATCTAGCAAGCGATCGGGCAACCCAATTGGCTCTAACATTAAGATTATGAGAAACCGCCTTGACCTTGACTTGAGGGTTTGCTCTCAGGATTGAGATCATTGATCCAATCCAGGTTGCTCCTTGCCATGGCCAACTTATAGGATCTTGATTTTGAGCTTTGACTAACACTTGGCAATCATATTGGAATATACAGTTAGTGCCATATTCTTGAGATAATTTGAGAGCTTCCAAAAGAGCTTTTGTTTCGGCTTCGATCGGGGTGGAACAAAGGAGGGTGTTAGCTCGCCCATCACACACTTATCCACGGTGGTTAATGACCACAACACCATAAGTCGCTGGGAGTTGCTTAAAAACGACCCATCACAGTGAATCACCAAATTGTGATTGCTTGGCGGTAGAGAAGTAAATGAGTGAGCTCCCCTGAGCTGAGGAGAAGGAGAGAAGAGTGGGGGAATCTTCGGGAATGTCGTCCATTCAATGATTTCCTGATAAGTTCGCATAATAATATTTGGATGCCAAGAGATCCGATTCTTGAACACACATTCATTCCTTGCCTTCAAGATATTCCAGCAGAGAAAGACAACATGTGCCAGAGTTTCTGTTTGGATAGCATCCTTTAGGTAGTACAACCAATCTAAGAAGACTGTAGCCTACGATGGAAGTGGAAGGTTTGGGAAGATAATGTTCCACGATTTCCTTGCATGGTTACAAGAGAAGAGGCAGTGGAAGAGGGAATCAATGGGGTAAAGGCACACTTGGCATGTTGAATTGGGTAAGGACTTCCTTTGAAATAGTCTCTCTTTTGTTGTAAGACCATTCCTGGAAAACCTCCAGACGGAGAATGAGTTTTGGAGGGATGTCGAGATTCCACATCCATTTCCATTTCTCCACGTTGTCCATCGTTTGGGATTCTGTTGAAGATAAGTGAACCGCATGGTAAGTCGACTTGACAGTCTGATTCCCTTCTTCATTTGATCTCCACGCCCAGAAATCTTTGGATTACACTTCCCCGATAGGGATTCTCAAGATAGGTTCAATTTCATAATTAGAAACCTGCCCCATGGATTAAGTCATTATTCCACTTCCATTTTTCTCGCTAAAAGGAAGTTACCTCTAGGGAAGTCATTTGAGGAGGCGACTACAAAGGGAATCAGGATTGGTGAGAATCCTCCAGGATTGTTTGGCTAGAAGGGCCAGATTAAAATCTCTAAAGTTTCGGAAACCCAAACCTCCTTCTGACTTTGGGGCACAAAGATTTCCTTTCTACACTAGTAAAGATTGCTTTTTTCCATCGATCCTAACCAGAAAAAATTGCTTAGAAGTGAATCCATTTTCTTCATATGGGACAGTGATAGAAGGAAGAGGCACATGATTAAAGATCGGATAGCATGAATAACATATTTGAGGACTTCCTTCCCTTCGTGAGAAAGAACCAAACTCTTCCAAGCTTCCCCCATCTTTTCCATCCTTTGGATAAGGAAGTAAAACATTTCTTTTTTAGAATTTCTCATTCTAGACTCCAAGATATTTAGAATAGCAGTCAGATGATGCAAATCCAATGTGAGTAATTATGTCATTCTTCTCCTCTGTTGGAACTTAAGAATACAAAGGATTTGTTGATGGTGACTTCCTGACCAGTGATTGAACCATAATCATTGATGTGGTCCAAAATTATTCGGCCTCTTGAATGCTAGCTTTCCCAAAGATGACTTCGTCATCAGCGAAAAGACAGTGAGTGAGGGTAGGGCTTCTTGCGTTGAGCTTAATTCCCTTGATGCGATCTTCCGCCACTGCCATGTTAATAAGGAAAGTGAGGGCATTAGACATTAAGATGAAGAGAAAAGGAGAGATAGGGTCTCCTTGTCTAATGCCTCTTGAAGGACAGAAGGTATCTGAGGCTTCCCCATTGCACAACACAGAGAATCTGACTGTACAAATACATGTGCTAACCCATCTGCACCACTTCTCATCGAACCTATATGTTCTAAGGAGATTCTCCAAGCACTCCCAATCCACCATGCCATATGCCTTTTTCATATCAAGTTTAAGCATCATATCTCTTATGTTACCCAGTTTGTGGTTCTTGAAATGATGAAGAGTTTCATGGATAATAATAATATTATCTTGGATGAGGCGACAGCCTGTGAACGTTTTCTGAAGTTCTGAGACTATCGAAGGGGTCCATTTCTTCATACGGGCAACCATGATTTTGAAATGATTTTGTACAGGAAATTGTAGCAACTAATAGATGAATAACGGGTACCCATACTACCCGTCCAATTCGACCAACTTCCACCTTAGACCTCTTTGTTTTTTTGGTAAGGGTGAACTTCTTTTATTAGAACTAAAAAAACTTTGCAATTACAAGTAGGGATGGCAACAAAACCCGAACCCATGGGTACCCACCCGACCCAACCCGGTCAACGCGGGTAAAATCCGTGTTGACGGGTTTTGGGCTGGGTTTGGGTTTAAACCCGTTCACTATTCACTGGGTTGGGTTGGGTTTGGGTTTAGGTAAACCCGGCCCGTGGGTACCCGCCCACTCATATAATTAATTTTTTCGGTATATTTAATATTCTAAACAACTAATCTTATTTATATTTGTGGAGACATGTCTAATTTTTTCTTTTTAATTGTGTAGAATTAAGTTGATGTTATGGAGTGGAGAGTAAAGAAACTTAATTGAAAGGAAGAAGTTTTCAATTAAACATGTTATTTATGGATAATTTGTGATTTGCTTCAATTTTCTTAAGTTTTCTAGATTGGTGTTGAACAATTTGTATAGTTAATTTGTGATTTGCTTGAATTTTCTAATTTGGTGTTTTATATATGGATAATTTGTATTGAGAGATTGATATTTGACTTTAATTTTGATAAGAACTTGTAATTGTAAATTTTTTTCACAAAAGCCGTGGGTACCCATGAACCCGCGGATACCCAACGGGTTGGGTTGGGTTTGAGTTTTTCAAACCCAGTGGGTTTTACCCCGGGTTTTTTTCAAAGATAAACCCATGGGTTTGGATTTGGGTTTGGCAAAACCCGACCCAACCCGACCCATTGCCATCCCTAATTACAAGCTACAACAGGACAAGAATTCCCAAGTTGCAAGTTCAACCTAATAAGCCATTACCAGTAGCCAAATGTCTTGGCCAAACATAGAAGTTACACAGGTCTAAAGTAAAGAAAACGAAACATACATTGCCAAAATCATACGTCTGCAGAATTAGGACCCAGAAGGAACTTTTTCGTGTGAAATGATGATATTTAAATAATTTCATTGACTTTATATTAAAAAATCCGAAGGCAAAGAGCACTTCTGGTGGTATATAGAGAAAGTAAAAGTAGAAGACTATCTATCTAGAGATGTAGGGAAGCAATATTTGAACTTCTCTTCCTGCTTTCTTTTTTCATTTTGTTGTTTCCTCATGTGTTCTCTGTTTCCTTTCTTTTTTAATAATATGATGTCAACAAGAATTGAGTTTCATCAGCAGGAGGCGGGTTGGGGGTTGGAGTGGGTTTGGGTTTTTGGACTGATGGGATTAATGGGTAATCCGTTGGTACCTAGAAGTTGTAATGGGCATGCCCATTGGTTAGCCCACTCTGTTGCTAGTTGGGAAAACCAGTTTGTTTGGGTTTGTGACCCCCCTTTTCCTTTGATATGTTTGTTGGAGTCCGATTTGGGTCGTGGCCCTTGTGGCCTGACTTGAGATCTTTCAGAATGAATCTTACCAGGTTCCCATAAAAAACATCTGTTTCCCGTTGCCCACCCCTAGAATGCAAAGAAAGTTAGTACCACTATTAAGCACTTGATTGAGCTACAAATAAACATCACCATCAAAGCTATCATGGCTGAGGTAAAAGATCGTCATTCCTACACAATCAGGTACAAGAAGGCATGCCATGGAAATCAAACTGCCATGGCTGACGTGTACGACGATTGGGACGACTCATATGCTCTCCTTCCAAGATTAATGGTCGTGATGGAGGAGTCTAACCCCGGTAATGTTTTCATGTCGTGGTTTAACAACGTCGAAACTTAGGACCAAGTTCGGGTCCAAAATAATCTAATGTTTCATCGCTTAATTTGGTCCTTCAAGCCATGCAGGTCAATATAACAAAACTTTAGTATTTTAACTAAGAAAAGAGTTACAAAATTATTAACGATAACATAAAAATGACTAATATTTTGATGCATTACAAAAGATTTGACTAATTATTAGTAATTCAATAGGTTTGGCTAAAAAATGATGCAAGAAAGGTTTGGCTAATAATTAGTGTTTAACCAAATTTTTTATTGTAACATCTGTGTTGGGTGTGGTATTAACCCGTTTAATACGACAAACAACTATTAATGGACCCAAACCCACCACAAGGTGTCCTGGACCGAATCTCACTCAAGGAGGCCCAAGCCCTATTTAAGGAGGCCAAACCCTCCAAGTCTAGGATCCTCTCCTTCCCTTCCCCACTTTTCCTCAAGGCCTCTCTCTACACACGTTATACCTTCTCTATATTGTACTAACTTGGGCATCGGAGCGTAGATCTCGGAGGCCGCCCCCTCCTCACAGATTCCTCGCCTCCCGAAAAGATCAAACGAGGGAGTCCAGATCGAAACCCCACAATTACTATGTTAGCCTTGGGGACTTTCCCGGGTCAAGCAATCTGTATGCATTATTATTTGATCATGCTCAAATTACAATCTTTTGAAGTAAAGGAAACATGAAAAGTGGTGGTTAGTGACCCGAATTTCCTGAGAATTCTAGTTACATAGAGTATGGACTAATAAGTGTGCAACTTGATTGCACTCCTTTTAGCAAAGACCCAAGAAATTTGGCCATTATATTGGGTTTTGGTCCGGATTTTCATACCAAGTCAACCCACTTTCAATAGCGACTGGGTTAGTCCTTAAATCTTCTTCATTGCATCCATACAATATAGATCTTTATAGTGGCATAATAGATTTTTTTTCATTGATTATTCGACTACATACGGACTACTTTGTTTGGCAGGAACCATTATCGTAATTGAGTGTTTGTAGTTGTACTACAACCTTTGGCTTGTTTTGGATAAAAAACATTGAATGACCCATAGTCAGAGGTATGGAACGGGTTGGTTCGTACATAAGCGCATCAAACCTAACTGATGTTTGGACTGGATCATACCAAACAAAGTATAACATAGTATGGTCCTTGATCTCGTGAATTTTATAAATACGAAAGAAAATGTACCAAATAATAGGGATGACAATGGGCCGGGTTGGGTGATTGACCCATAGTCAGAGGTATGGAACGGGTTGATCTCGTGAATTTTATAAAGGACGTGCAATAATTTTCATCGATCTATCAGGTGATAGTTGGATTTTATTCGCTTCATCAAATTTATGAGATCAATTAAGCATGTTCCGTCAAAGATTGCTAATGCAGTTTTCTTTTCTTTGTTGTGGTTTATGTGGTACCTTGATACTGGTCATCCGACATACTTCGTCGAAGGAAACTACACTCGCTGGCGGGACTATCTTGGAGACGTTGGGATTTTATTTTTGTTTTTTCCTCGTCAGTGTCGTGTCTTTGCTCCTCGGAGCTTCTTCAGAGCGGCCCAAGTAGTGGCTTAACAAGATCTTTCATCGTAGTCTGGTTGCATACGGACTATCGCGCAGTGTTTGAGTCGGTCATGTAATCGTGTCGAGTCTTTGTCCCATGCCCTTTGGGCTTGCCTTGAAAAAAAAAAAGGGCCGGGTTGGGCGCGGATAGTGCATATCCGTTACCCTATCCAAAGTAGTTCGGGTTTTACACATACTCATACCCGCATAAGAAATGAGTAGAAAATCAAAATCATGCCCATACCCGTTCGGGTTTCGGGTAACCACGGTTATCCATGGCTAATAATTTCTTTTTATAACTCCAACCAATATGTTAACATTCACATATATTCTCACATTACATAAGAGGAAAAGTACGACAATAATTCACTATAATAAAACAAATTAATTAAAACAACACAATTTCATGAAAATATTGTATTTATATGCTAAATATAAAATATGTTAGAGAAAAATAATACTTATTTAAATACAAAATACATTTGCAGGTGTATAATCGGGCGGGTTCGGGTTGGATAGTGAAAAAACCATGTCCACACATTACCCGTAATATTCGGGTTCGTGTTTACCCGTACCCACAAAAAGTCATTCGGGTTCGGGTTTTACCCTACTTGATAAGGTCAGATTCGGGTGGATATCCACGGTTACAGATTGTTTGTTTCATAGATTTCATGATGGAATTGGTTAATTAAATTTGTATGTATGAAGTGAAATTTACCTTTATTGCGCTCATTGATATGAGAAGAGAAATGAAATAGGAGGGCTAGTTTGGTCTTAAATGATAGACTTCAAAGTCCATGATGAATTCCCACATAAATAGGTGGAACTTTCAAGTACTTGGGATTTACAAATTTGGACCCTTAAAGTTCATGTGACCCACAAAATTGTTGCCCATAAATGCATCAAGCAAACAATGAATTTTTGACAAAATACATGATGGATCCAAATCTCTCACCAAATCCTTAAAAAAAAAAAATCACTAGAGTGAATGCAATATTGATCAATTATAAAATGTCTTTCGCTAATAACCAAATCATTGCATTGCACACCCAAACTAATCCATAGCGTAACCAAGCCCAAAAAACAGTCTATTTGGATAATTTCAATTGCCACAGCAGACGAGACGACGGCACTCCTCCACCATCCTCGCCCCCTGCTCCGGTGCGAAGTTCTCTCATAATCTCCTCTAAGTCTCGCCGTTTTTCTTCTCCGTTTGCTCGTATCAGAAAGGTACTTTTACTTCCTCTGCTCGTCAGATTTTTCAACTGATCCTACTGTGTTTCGAATTTGCTTTTCGATCTTAGCTTTTTCCGGCAGCGAGCTTCGTTTCTTTCTAATGATTTCTCAATTGTGCTTTGGATGATTCAGGCCCACTTCTTGCTCATTCAACCAGTTTTTATGGATAGCGACATGGACGCCGCCGACTGTTTCTCCGCGATTTGGGAAGAGATTGATCGTTCAGAGAGGCGAGTGGTTCAGTTCTTTAGTTTTCCCATGAAATGAAAGCACTCCCTGAGCTCGATTCTTTGTTTTCCCCCCTTCATTTCGGTGATGTGATTTTATTATGAATTTTCTTATTTCAGCTACCTTGTTTGCTCACAGTATGAGGAGGCTGCATCAATGTCTTCAGCGGTTTTGAAACGGATACTTGACAATGGCTATGGAAGCAGAGTATTTGATCATGATGATGAGTTGTCCGAAGTTATGGAATCTGCGGGTATGGTGTTGGTGCAGTCCCTGAACAAACTTGGAAGGTATCCTAGTTCTTTTGGCTTTCTTTTAGCTTTATGAAAATTACAGTGAAATATACCATTGAGGGACAGTGAGATGGGAGTTTAAATGTGTTTTTGGGGAGCCTATAATACTCGTATGGCTGATATCTGGTCATAGATTGTGAGCAAATGTATTATATCTGCCAAGTAGAGTCACTTAGGTGGTTAGTTGAATAAAATTTTGATTTTCCCGTGTGGAACCTGGTCGTTCGTTTATGTATAAAGTTGTTTCGTTGATCGAGGCTTGAATGGATGAAAGTCCTGTTTGTTTGTGCATAAGAAGAAAGGGTTCTCTCAAGAAGCTGGCTGCATGCTTGCATGTGGATTAGGCATTGCACTAGATAGGCGGACTGATTCGTCTAACTTACTATTCTCTTGTTTTGAATGCCTGCATTTCAGGCAACTTCTGAGGCTTGGTTTTCCCAATTGTATGAGCGATGTTGATATTTTTGCAGGGCATCAAGTATTCTAAGTGAGCTCAAGGACCTGTTCGTTTATCCTGCAGCAGTCCCTGCTGAAGCTCTTCTAACTGGGTATCCTGCTGCTTCCCTTCACTTTTAATTGAGCCAAGTAGGTAATTTGGTTTTGCTTTCTTCCCATTCTTTAGTTTCTTTGTTTCGCCAAGAGATTCAATTCATTGACCCATAGTATACAGGTATGCATACAGAAGAGAATAATCACTCGTGTTCCAATATAATATGATCCTTGAAACTAGGAGATCATGTACTTGCAAGAAAAATAACTGAATATAGCCACTTGAACCTCAAGACTTCGAATGTTTAGAGCATAATATTTGGGGCGGATTATTACATGAGAGGATGGTCACTCTGTTAAACTGAGAAATGACATTGGATGGACTGTAAGCTGTGCAACCTGCAGATCCTACAGTTATACACGTGCTCATGGACTGGTCTATAATTCCTAGCTTGTTGTCCCAAGCTGATTAGTAAAGGCATATCTGCCTTAGCAGCACTGATGGAGGAAAACCATAAAGATTAATTTATTCCCCTGGAGAAGGCTAGGAATTGTAATTGTTTTCTTTTGTTGTTTTTATGTTCCGATTGTGTGTCTAGGTTGTTATGATATGGCTGATTCATAATTAATAATGTATCCTAGCCCTGCTCGCATCTCAAGTCATAGCTAGGAAGATAGGTTGATTTTCTTGATGAAGGATACTGGTTAGTAGGGTAAATAACTGTGAGATAATCTGTTAGTAAATTCATTTGGCCTCGTTTTATCTAAATTTAAAGACTAATCAAAAGCTTTGACTCTCAGAAAGAGCTGCTCAGGATTTGGTCTCGTAGACGATTACATTTCATCCTTATAGTGTAAAGTCTATTCCAATAGTAACCTAACTAGTAGGTGAATTCTTCTGATATGCTACGTCCTTTTAGACAATTGGTGCCTGACAGCCTGAGCAAAGATCTCAGGATTTTGCATCTTACACTGGAAGGTTTGAAGTTTGAACACATTGATCTCTGTTTTTAGCTGTGAAAAGATTTTTATGCCAACAAATGTACAAGATGTGCAGCACATATTTGTCTCTCAGATATCAAATTATAGTGACTGATCAGAATACAGAATTATAAGTTGATTTTGGTATTTAGTTAGATGATGTAATCGTTTTGGCTTATTTTTCATAGGGTTTGTTTGCAAATATCAGCAGGGTCATTACATGGAGTGAAAGAGTTTCTTCAGGACTTTATTAGCATGTGGAGTTTTTTGGATGAAAGATTTTATCTTCTTTCCATCGAAGATTCAAATATGAAGGTCCATGAACAATGTGATAGGAGGAATACATTGGACGCTGAAACCTTTTTGGCCATTGTTGAGGTCTATACTGTTACTTTACTTGGCAAGCATTTGAAAGAGTTGAACATTGCAATTTCTTGGCTTGAGAAAGCTGCCTTACCTGAGGAAAAGCGACAGGTGATACTTAATTTTTAGCCTTTGATATCCCTTCCCCTCCTTTTGGAATCTTGAAATAATTCAGAAGCTACAAGGAAAATTAATTTTATGATATACATTACTTAAAGAATCTGGACTGTTTTTGTATGCCATAAGAACGCCAATATTGGAACTAAATCGTTGGTTCACTTAAGTACCTGTGCATGAAGTTGTATTTAAATTATCTGCTATATAGGTATGTTATAAATAGAACACTGAAAGATAACCTATATCTAAATTGATGTCTTGTTGCAGGTGCTCTTGAGAAGATTGCACACAATGTATTCCGAGAAAACCTCCAACGGGATCCAGGATTCTTCAGTTTTGCCAGAAAATAATGGGGATATTCATGGTTTTTCGTCAAATTCGGCAAATTTATCTGAAGAATCCTCGAAGGCTTCAAAAGCGAACTATATGCTGAATGGGAAATCCAGGCACAGAAAACAATGTGTATGGTGGTTTCGTTCATACAAGTTGAAGCTTAGAAACATGCCACTGGCTGTAACAAATGGAAAGATTGTGTTTAGTTGTCTGTTTGTTCTCCTGTGTTACTTCATTCAGAAGAACCGAGCTGTTTTGACAGGGTAAGCTTGTTTACTGCCTTCCTTCTTCTGTAATTCCGTTGGGGATGCATCGATTCTTTCCGTTGAATATTCTGCATCCTAGGATATATCTCAAACTATTCTTCATTTGTTTCCTATGCGATTTAGGGTTGTTAAGCGGCAGGCTATATGGGTCAAGAAGTCTCTGGTAGACTTGTGGCGGCTTGCATTTTTGTACCAGGTTAATCCCTTGGCTGCTGTTCAACCTCTCCCTGCAGCAACTCGGTCAGGACGGTGATGTTATTGTCCCCTCATTTCCCCCTCCTTTGCTTTGTTGTGCGAGTCTCCGTTGTTCTTCTAGTGGGTTGGATATCATAAACCAGTTGATCCCAATAACTCGAGTTGTTGGGAGAAGGTTATAATACTGAATCTTATACCCGCTCTCTAACAGCTCTCACTTTCAAAATTAGGACTGCAATGTGTTACTGCGTCAAAATAGTCTAGTTGCTAGTAGTCTCATTGAAGATGAGAGAGTTCATAGTATGTTTCTGGAAAACGGGAATAAAAAAATATGTAGGTTACTTGCCATTTTCTTCTCGATGAATATTCTCTTACGGCTCTTATTTACTATATTTTATAAGTTTTTCCTTTCCTGGAATGTTGTTTTTTCTACATGAATAAATATCATGTTCCAGTTTATTGCTGGAATATAATTGTTTCGTTATACCTTATTTCAATTGCTGTTAGGAATTTGATGAGCCAATCACGGCAAATCATTTTTAGTTAGAACCCTGTTTAGCTGTTTGGTTAACTAGTCACGCAAATATTATCCAATTTTTTTCTATTATTTAGTTATCAGCTTGACTAATAGTTAACAGAGTCAGTAGTTCTCTTTCCTTGTGCCTTCCGTGGCCAGAGAGATTGGCTTTTAGGGCTGGTTTTGGTGAAAGAATTTTGAAATATAGTACTATTGAAACGAGTGGATTTTTTTCTCCCCTAATGGTGACATTGGTTGATGTTTATAGTTAGGTGTTACTGAAAGGATTTGAACCTGAGACCTCCAGAACAGAGTGGAATTTTAAATCGATGAAATCAGCTGGATAGATAAATATTAAGAATGAATTGTTTTAGCTTTGCTTTCCAACGATGTTATTGGCAAATTTCACCTAACTGGAAGAGAATTGAGAAGTGGAGGATTGGAAGTTCCATCAATTTAAAGTTTGAATATGTATATGGTCCATCCAAAATCTGGAATTCGCTGAATTCCTTAACTCGAAGGAATTAAACAAAATTCCACTACTCAATTCCTTTGTCCAGAAAACCTGTTAGTTGATTATAATATTTTGCGTTGTGTTAATTTGAATTAAATACCAAAGTTGTAGTGTTATTCTTATCCAAAAATAGTTATGTCAAAATTCTCATACCTGTCGATTCAGATGTGCAAACCAACAACTTACGCATATATTGCATGGAAATTCATGTGAATTAATTTTGTAGCGAATTACTTGCAGGGTTGTTTTCCTTTATTTTCCCCCGGTTTCTGAACAAGAGAAGGCCAAAAAATAAAGGGTGAGGGCTGTTAAAGAAAAAAACAAAACTAGAGGAGCAGAAAAAAAGAGGTGGCAGTTTGTGAGTTAGTTTGATTGAGGACCAGGCCAATATTCTGTTTGTTCAGTTTTTTTCCCCCAAGCTCCCGTTTGGGATATTTGTCTTATTTAAATACGTAGCTTCCCAAACACCAACAAACATCAATCATCCCCTCCATTGCGAAGGAAAGAGGAAACCAGGGGAAGAAAAGCAGAAGAGGGGAAAGCTAGAGGAGGAGAAGAAGAAGAAAATGTCGAGGAAGGCGGCGGAGAAGGAGTACCAACAAGTGGTTGTGGCTGTGGACAAAGATAAAGGAAGCCAGCATGCTCTGAAATGGGCAACCGATCATCTCCTCAGCAAAGGCCATACCATTGTTCTCCTTCACGTCAAACACCGACCGTCTTCTTCTTCTTCATCGTCTTCCTCTTCTGCCTCTTCTTCTGGTCCTGCTGCTCTCGACGACGATAATAGAGTCCCGATTGATGGCCAAGCCAGAGAGCTTTTGCTTCCTTTCCGCTGCTTCTGCACCCGTAAAGATGTAAGATTATCTCAATCATTCCAACCCTTTTCTCCGTTTTTCTCTCATTTGTTCATCCATTGACATGTATCATTGTTTCTGGGTTGGTTTTCTTTTTCTTTCTTCCAGCTAAAATGCAATGAAGTTGTCGTGGAGGATTATGACATAGCCAAAGCAATCGTCGACTACGTGAATGCGAATTCCGTTGATGTCGTGGTGCTCGGCAGCCCTTCGCGAGGCGGCCTCGTTAGGTAGATAAATCGTCTGGAAATTCTGGGTTCGGGAGGGGCAGATGGGCGGTTTCAGATATCTCCTGCAATGTGCTAATCTCTGTTCCTTATTATTGTTTTTTTTTTCCCCTTCTCCTTTCTCGCTTTTCTCTTGGATATCCACAGAAAGTTCAGGGTGACAGATGTTCCAAGCAATGTCTCGAAATTGGCACCAGATTTCTGTACCGTTTATGTTATTGGCAAAGGAAAGATCTCATCAGTGAAAGCCGCTACCGCACCTGTCCCTGCACCGCCTAGACCTGTTGCTGCTGCTGCTGCTGCTGCTGCAGCCTCTCCAGGCCCAGGTTTCTCAATTCCTGATCCTGCTTCCAGGGGTTACCAAAGAGGTTTGCTTATGATGTTTCATCTGCTTTCTTGTGGCGTGGATTGAATCTCCAATTTTTTCCAGGAGCTGATTACGTAATGCTTTAATTTTGACAGCAGAAAGATCACTTTACCCGCCAGGCTATCAGAATGAAGATGATTTCATTAGGTAAGCTTCTTTTTTTTTTCTTCCAATTTTTAACAATCAGACCGAGACACCATGTGTGTTCAGCAGGAGAGGAAGCCAACCCATTTCTTCTTTATTTATTTTTCCCATGTGTCTACGCAAGGTCGCCGTTTGCAAGAGGAAGAGCTTCAATAGCAAAACTAGCCGAATCGCCAATGCCGGATTCCGACATCTCTTTCGTCAGCAGTGGAAGGCCGAGCCTCGACTACCACTTTGCATCCATGAGCGACGGGGATGCTCCAAGGCTCTCGACTGGCTCGGATTTCGACACCAGAAGCACCGGATCCTCCTACTCAGGAAATCGGTCCCTCGACCTTTCATTCCAGGAAAGTTGCAGACTTTCATCTTCTTCTCAAAATTTGGTAACACCTTGCTTTTCGAACCACTTGCAGCTTACTTGGACAAATCGTGCCAATCTTGCAGGAAGACATGGAAGCCGAGATGAGAAGGCTGAGACAAGAGCTGAAGCAAACGATGGAGATGTACAGCTCAGCTTGCAAGGAAGCTCTCTCGGCGAAACAACAAGCCAGGGAGCTTCATCGGTGGAGAATGGAGGAAGAGCAGAGGCTCGAAGAGGCGAGAATGAGCGAAGAACAGGCACTGGCTCTCGTCGAGAAGGAAAAGGCCAAATGCAAAGCAGCACTCGAGGCAGCCGAAGCTGCCGAGAAGATCGCCCAATTCGAAGCACAGAAGAGACGAGCCGCAGAATTGAGAGCCATACAAGATGCCGAGGAGAGAAAGAAAGCCGGCAATGGACTGTCCCATGGCGGCGGCGCTGATATTCGGTACAGGAGATACGAAATCGAAGAGATCGAGTCTGCAACGAAGGACTTCGCAAACAATTTGAAAATCGGAGAAGGCGGGTATGGCCCCGTGTACAGAGCGCATCTCGATCACACACCCGTCGCGATCAAAGTCCTGCGTCCCGACGCAGCTCAGGGAAGGTCTCAGTTCCAACAGGAGGTGGAAGTTTTGTGCTGCATTCGCCATCCAAACATGGTACTTCTCCTTGGAGCGTGCCCCGAATACGGCTGCTTGGTCTATGAGTACATGGCCAACGGTAGCTTGGAAGACAGGCTTTTCAGAAGAGGGAACACCCCGCCTCTTTCGTGGCAACTAAGGTTCAGAATCGCAGCAGAAATCGCCACAGGCCTACTGTTCCTCCACCAGACCAAGCCCGAACCGCTAGTCCATCGTGATCTCAAGCCCGGTAACATCTTGCTGGATAGGAACTTCGTCAGCAAGATCAGTGACGTAGGTCTGGCAAGGCTCGTCCCTCCGTCGGTCGCTGACTCGGTGACCCAATACCGGATGACATCCACGGCCGGAACGTTCTGCTACATCGACCCGGAGTACCAGCAGACGGGAATGCTGGGGGTGAAATCGGATATTTATTCGCTAGGCGTAATGCTGCTCCAGATCATTACTGCCAAGCCGCCGATGGGGCTAACCCACCACGTCCAAAGGGCGATCGACAAGGGAACGTTTGAAGACATGCTTGACCCTACCGTGCCAGACTGGCCTGTGGAGGAGGCATTGAGGTTTGCCAGGCTGGCCCTTCAGTGTGCCGAATTGAGAAGGAAAGACAGGCCGGATTTGGGGAACGAGGTGTTGCCGGAGCTGAACAGGTTGAGAATGTTGGCCGATGATGTGTCTCCTGCTGGCGGGTTCAGCTATGGTGGGAGCACAGGGAGCTCGCCTTTGAATAGTCAGAGTAGTCAGGATGTGTTCAGTGATCTTCAGTCTGGTTATGATAGCTCCAGAAGCCGGTCTAGTACCTCTTCCTACGGCGGCAGAAGATGATGATGATGGTGATCAGACTTTCCAACGACAATGGAGGAGCTGGAATATATTGTAGTTTGTTCTGACGACACTGGATTATGTACTGGGGAAGTATAGTTTGGTTCATGAACTTTATGTTCCAAAATGTACCGCCTATAAACGTGTATATAAGCCATGTTTCATGGATGAATACAATGATTGATATTTCTTCCTAGTAACTATATACGATCATGCTAATTTTTAGTTGTCTAACATGCTAGTTTATTTTTTTTTATGTCAAAAGATAATTCTTAATATCGAGTACACAAGAGTTGCATCGCTCCAGATAATTTTATCTCCCAACGTCAATAACTCCACCAAGTACTGATCCTCCATATATAGCATCATAAAGGCGATCTTCAACAACACCATCAACATTCTTCTGCCTGTTCGCTCCATATCTCAATTTGTCTTCTCCAGTACTCCCTACAAATTGGTGGGATCGGATCAACGGATCGGGTTATAATTTGCCACGTCTATAATCCTAAGCCTATTAATCTTTCGGATTTCAAGTCTACGAATTATTAATTAGTTATTCTTCTTCTCTTCGGAGAATAAAACTCTTTCCACAAGTAAAGGAGAATAAAAACCCTCTGCCTTGTTGACTCCTAGAAATCCTCTTTGGTGTTGATATTAGCATCGAATGAGACCAATTTATAAATAATTGTTTGATTATGTTCATTGAAAAATGTGTGAGTCGTAATATACGTGATGAATGTTTATAGAACTTTTTCAAAATATGAAAGCACGTTGTGGTTCGTTGTGAAAAACGACGAATCATAATACTTTTTGAATAATTTTTTTGTGAATTAGCATTTCATTTTATTTAAAAATTCTAATTATTTTTGGATAAATACCCTTGGTGAAATTTCTGGGTCCGTCACTGTGCGACTGAAAAACCAACTAAACCAAAGTTCTATACTCTGCATTAAATGATGATCTCGAAATTTTGCTTTGTTTCTTCGACTTCCAAGTCAATTACAAGCATCCTCCTAAGATGATGTAATACTCTGTGACTGATCTCCTTGGACAGCTAGCCTAATGAGAATCTATAAATCCAACAAATTCTAACTTGATTCCAACTTCGAGAGTAAGAGTCTTTCGACTTTGTTGGATGGATTCACTAGAGTGTATTTGTAGGGGTTTCTGGGCAGTTTTGTTTATATAACTATTGTCTTCTCTTGATATCCCTCGAAAATAAATGAAAAATTATCAGTATAATTGCATAAGGGTCTTTTTGAAACTAACACGGTTGTTGAACAATCGTTTTGGTAATCTGTATCTTCCATTAAATTCATACCGTATTTATTTTGGTTGACAAAGATACCTCTATTATACATGTAGGGGAGAGAAATTAGATTTGTCCAATAAAAATAAAACTCAAAAGTAAATTAATCTCTTAGCAAACTAGAGTGATTCACAGGTTCTCTCTTTCATTTTCCCTATCAATTTTAAAAGACTAGTATTTTCTTCATTTTTAATAACACTTCAGTGCGATATTATGGAACAGAGAGGTTTAGAGGGGAGAATAAATAACCAAGTTGTATGCTTAATAATAATAGCTCATATAGAATGTAAATATGATGTTTAAGCGTTAGGGACAATATAGACAATCTATTTTTCTCATACCACATTTCTAAGTTCCTTTGCTCTTGGTACACCTGTCATCGCTCTAAGAACATGTCTAAGAACATGTCTATTTGAGTTTTTCACTGTCAGCTCAACTTCCATCTTACTTGAGCGATCAAATTGATAAATGAGAACAAATATAATGTATCGTTAACTGGATAAAAAATATGCACTATGTTGAGTACATTTCCAATTATAAAAATAAACAACATACCAAGTTAGTAACACACCACTAATGGTTTTAAGAGTGACCACCTCCTCGCTATTTTACATACGGTAGGAATAATTTGCTGCAAGTTAAATCCCCGCGACGTAGTTGTGGGTGTTGATTCTATATTTTATAAGTGGGAAAAAACGTTTATATAAAAGTAGTTTATAACTTCAAATGTTAAATTGAAGTTAATGAAGTAGGTTAAATGTGTACTTTTCACGTGACAATCTTGACATAAAATCAACACTATAATGCCCTAAAACCACTTGTATTCTATGATACAGCTCAAACCAGTCAAAAGAAGACATTACAACAATCTTCTAGCATCTAAACTGAATTACACGGCACTTTTCCAAACTATTAGCTGATCCACCTATCCCTTTTCCTATGTCTCTATGTGGAAGGATAAAGTAGAAAACAAAATGGGAAAAAGGCAACTTAAGAAACTATGTGAAAAACCCTGTTAATATGGGAACTGTCACCTGGGGCCAGAGAGTTCCATTGCTTGTACCAACAATGAAGAATCATCAGTGAGATCAGAATACCGATCCGACGACGAGAAATCGTTATTCTTTGACTTGGTAGCTTCTGCCCTTTGAGAAGCTTCCCATCTCTCTGCAAGTCCATCTCCTTCCAGCATTCGGACTACTTCAGACATTTTCGGTCTTTGACTAGGAAGGTACTGTGTGCTAAGGAGAGCAACTTTAACCATCTCTTCCAGCTCGATTCTGTCATAATTCCCTTTCAAATCCTTGTCCACCATCATTTCCAGCTGCTTCTCATGATGAATCTTCTTTACCTGCCAAAATGTAAACCAAATGAACAGACTGAGCCACAAAGTTTTCCTTTGTTTTTCCCCATTTTTAAGAGAATTGAGGGCTGACCCAATCGAGCATGGCTCCTTTCTGGTTTGCTGCCTTTCCAAACTCCAATGCTCTTTGGCCCGTGATTAGCTCGAGGAGCAAGATTCCGAATCCAAACACATCTGTTTTGTCTGAAGATTGGCCTGTGGAGAGATATTCTGGTGCAATATGGCCAACAGTTCCTCGAACAGCAGTAGTCACATGCGAATCTTGGTGATCAAGCAACTTTGCCAACCCGAAATCACCAACCACGGCTTCATAGTAGTCATCAAGCAATATGTTTGCGGCCTTAACATCCCTGTGGATTATCTTCGGATCACATTGTTCGTGGAGGTATAGCAGTCCCCTTGCTGCTCCTAAGGATATTCTCTTCCTTGTGCTCCAATCCAAGACTGGTTTCCCTGGAAATGAGAGTAGGAGATGATCAGTCTGGTTAATCTATTTAACTATCTGGGATGTTCAAAGAAAGCTGCATATCAGTTTTACCTTTGAGACGAGAAGCAACGCTGCCATTGGACATGTATGGATAGACCAGTAATCTCTCTGAAGGTGTGATGCAGAAACCGTATAATTTGAGGAGGTTTCGGTGCACTGCTAAGCTGATCATTTCAACTTCAGTCTGGAACTGAATCTCTCCTCCAACGGCACTACCATCTTTCAATCTTTTCACGGCTACGATCGTCCCATCGTGGAGAGTTCCTTTGTATACATGGCCGAACCCTCCTTTCCCAAGTATGTTTTTGTTGCTGAAGTTGCCTGTTGCAATTTGGAGTTCTCTAAACTGAAACATCTTCAAGTTTCCGAGAGATACTTCTTCATGCAGCCTATCTTGTTTTCCTGAAAGGAGCCAAACAAACTATACACGGTTAGGCAGAAGAAGCAGCCAGTTTATATACATTGTAAAAGTCTCATTATAGTATCTTCCATACCATCAACGTCGAAAAACATTGGTGGATTAAGCCTTTGCCTCCACCACAGGAACATTCCAAAAACTATAATGATGAGGGAGATTGCACCAACGCTTGACCCAAATGCAACTGCTACCTTGTGACTCTTTGGTCTTTGGGAAGGGGGATTAACTGATAATAGAAATGAGATCGAGATCAAACACTGATCAAGGCATCAAATCGTCAAAGCATGAAGGGAATTATGGCATTGCTCACGTTCTGTGTTGTTTAAGTTCATGGACATTGGCATTAGAGTCGTCCCAAAACACTCTGGCTCTGAACCAGTTGGGCAGATGAGTGGATTGCCAACAATGCTGCAATGCAAAAGGAGGGCTGAAGTAAGCATCCATTTAATTGATATGTCGAAGGATAAAGGCATTGAGGAAATGGGATGACCTGAAGGTTTTAGCAGGGAATATAGGTATGGGGCCACTCAGATTATTGTAGGACAGGTCACTGAAGTTCACCAAAATAAGTTTGTTTCAGTGGCGCATTTCACCCAAATGATACAGTAGAATTCAAGGTAAGCCTAGACTTACAGAAACACAAGCTTGGTCATGTTCCCAATTGACATGGGGACTTTGCCGGACAGACTGTTGTTGTTTAGCCTCCTGAAGTTCAAAATTGACCAACTCCCCAAAATCAGGGTGAAACAGAAGAGAGTATATGGGATTGACTATCCACAGTCCTTGGGCATCATGCAGAAGAGAAGATGGTTAAGTATGCTTACATGTATTGAAGACTCCTCAAGTGGCCTAAAGAAGAAGGAACACTCCCGGTGAAGAAATTGTTAGACAGATCAAGCGTGTGAAGTTTTGAGAGCTTCCCTATCTCTGCTGGAATGGGCCCTGTGATATTATTATTCTGCAACAGCCTGCAACGAAATGCAATTTGAGTTAGCCTCTTTTGCATGCTTGAAACCAAAGAAGCAGGACTCAGAAATGGCCGGCACCTATTTTTGGAACAGTTAGAACTTACACAATCTGAAGATTCGTCAAGTTGGCAATGCTTGGAGAAAGAGTTCCAGATAAGTCCTGACTAGGAGTTCCCCTGCAAGCCAAATTTAAGAATAAGTCACATCTTAGCAGAAGCATTAAATTACAAGTACTTGGTACTTTTAAATACATTAGCAGAACATTAATTACAATCCAATGACGAGGCTCTCTGACGAACAAGTGACCATAGTCCAGCTACAAGGATCCACAGCATCACCATCCCAGTTATCAAGAACCCCATGTGGATCATGTAAAGAAGCTTTTATACCCATCAAAGCTTGTACTGCAACAAACCAAACCCACATTAGAAAAAACGAAAAATATTTCCTTCAGAGGAAAATCATCGAACACCCTCCAGGCACAGAAAAAAACCCAAACTCAAACTCTTTATGATTAGGGATGATAATCCCCTTCCCCCACCTTCAAAGTTCACGCCTTTGGGGGAAAGCAACCCATTTGCGGTAGTAGCAGCATAAACCCACAAGAAAACCACAAAACTCATAACACCCATTTCTTCTCTCCTTCCTCTACTCCTACTTCCAGCTGCGGCCGCCATTGAAGAGAGCAAAAAGGAATGGACTTTGGACACCCAAACTGTCTTACTGTTGTTCTATATATCTGCTAACAATCTCAGATTGATTCCAGATGGATATAGAAAGGGAACAACTTTGAAACGGGCATGGTGTTACTTTTCGGTGGTGGAGTGAGGCATCCATCCATGCTTGATGCTTTTCTTTCTTTCTTTAGGCTTTCCTTCCCACGCAGTGCTGCTTTTCACGCCAGAAAAGAAGAAGAAATCCCAAATTTTCCGAATAGAAAATAAGGAAAATAATTGGGGGTTTGTTTGTTTAGTCGTGTCAGAAGAATTCTGAAACAAAGAAAAGCAGCAGTGTTTTTTTGTCGTATGAAAGGACCCCCAGTTGGACGTAACAAACAGAATCAGTAGTCAGTACCATACGTAATAATAATGTAATTACCATAAATGGTAACAAACCTTTGCACTTAGTACAAAATGGTCACAAACCTTTTATTTGTAACAAAATGGTAACAAACCTTTGAAATTGGGATGAGATTCAAATTTCCCTCACACAAAATGAATTGTTTGGATGAACCAAGGAATCTCTAGTTCATCCCTATTTTGATAGTGAGAGACGTCATGGAAAGAGAAGAATTTGTGTGAATCTATGGTGCAATATGATTAAATTGTAGTAATTTCTATCATGATGCATGTACGATTTCACTGCTATATCTAGATACATGATAATCCATCAAAATTTATTTTAGAAGCAACGATGATTAGTATAAATTATAAAATGGATCAAATTTCAACTCTAAAGCGACTAAAAAAAGAATATACATAGATATTTATTCTAAGATGCACAGCTGAGAGCAGCAGTGATAGATTCTATATCTAATGCTTCGTTCGGTTATGTCAAGTCAATTCTAGCCTAAAGTTAATCGAATCTGATTAGTATAAATTATAAAAAGATCAAATTTCTACATTGTTTGAATCGAATGTTAATTTAGAGACCTATTCATATTATAAAAATTCAAGTTTCGTAGGATGGGTTGATCTTTTAACTCGTAAGACTAGGAATCTAAAAAAAATGCAGCACCTTTGCCATTGATCAATTTGAACATTTCTAAATTTCAGAACAGGTTTAACAATATAAACCAATCAAATGTTACGTACATTATGACAAGAGACCTAAACATACCCTAAACCTTAAGAGATAATTTTCCATGACTTTTTCTGTCAAAGTCAAACTATAAAACATAACAAAACTTTACTCCGAAATCCAATTCGGATAGCCTTAGATTGTGACGCATATAAATATGTGCTCACTTGTCTTTCTTGTGACCGTTTTGTTCTCCTATTTCAAAAATACTAAAACTTATTAGTAACTTGCTGTCCACTTACGCTTTGGTGCTGGAAGCTTTGCTTTACTTTGTAGTTGATTGATTATGATATCAATATTAAGAAGATTCCCCTCCCATGGCAATTTGGGCACAAAGCGGCAAGCAGCAGGGCGCCCACTAAGTCCAAGCTCGCATATCGTATTGCCTTTATCCTTTGTCCAATTCTTCTTTCTTTCCTCATTTCTACACACACTGCATCAGCAGCAGACGACAGCAATTCAAACAAACACGATTTTGCAATCTCTCTCTCTCTCTCTCTCTCTCTCTCTCTCTGGGTTCTCATGGTCATGGATAGGGAAAGAAAACCTTTTCTCAAAAGCAAAAGCTGCCACTTTCCTTTCTCTCCATCCTCCCTCCCTTCCTTTTGCTCACAACCGACCATAAATTTGAACCAAAAATACCTTTAGCATAGTAGGACTATTTCAAATCTAATTGTTGTTAAGGAATGAATAAGATCAACTGCATTATAAAAAAAAAAAAAACTCGAGAAATAGGAATATATTGGTAAAAAAAACTCGATAAATAGGAATATATTGGTTTAAATGAAAAATTAGCATCTATTTGACTTGTTATTGGTAGTGACAATATTAGATTTAGAATAATTATGATTCAAAGATAAAAGTGCTAATTTGACCATGATCCAAATTGTAACAATGCTCACTCGACACTTACATGCAAATAAAATGATAATAATATCCCTCCCCCCCTAACCCTCATCACTCTCTCTTTCACCGTCTGGCTCTCACTTGGTATGAACGATACTTATCTGAATTGTTGTCTTCAATGCGAACTTGTTCAGGTCCATTAGCTTCACATAGTTGCATCAGTGTAGTTGCTCAACTTGACAATATGACAAAGCTGCTTCGAGACTCATGCTTCTAAATTCTTCACTCTAAAATTTGAGTCATTGATACATTCTCGAGCTTGCGAATCAATATCAATAATAATTGTAAAAGGGAGATAAATTTCTCCTTATTATAATTATCTCTCTTGTACTTATCCCAAATAGTCTAATCTTATTGCAAAAGAGGGTTTGGCCCGGTTGTATTACTACTGGTCTTGAATCTGGAAGTCTCAGATTCGAATATTTTAAACAGTACATAATTATGAAAATAAATATATATCACCTTTATAATAATAAAAAATGTACTCATATTTGTATTCCCTTTACATAAAAAAAAAAATTGAAAATAAGTTCTAGTTCATGCAAAACCTTAGACAACAATGCCTCCTACTATGAAATGAAGTAATCACTTGGATAGTACTGGTTTTGACTTATGAAAGTGGTTAGGGGCTAACACCTTCCTAACATGTGGCCCATAACTCACATCTTTTAGGATTCTAATCCGTAACTTACCTACATTCTCTGATGAATTTTCATGGACGGGACATGTTACTTAAACATAGTATAGAGAGATGTTAAGAGCGGAAGAAGGCAAGAAGCACATGGAACTAGGGTACATCCACACTTTCAACCCTAACCAAGGGTTAACTTAAACTCAGTATCTCAGACCCACATTCAACAGAAGAAACAAATAAGGAAGCTGCACATTCAGCCAAATGTAATTAGTGAGCTGCTTTCCTGTCGTTAATCTTGAAAACTAAGAAGATGAAGCTCAACTCCATTCACTGGTCCACCGCAGCCAGCCAAGTAAACACAGCTCGGGGAGTGGATGACAAAAACAAAAAACAGGACTCCCCACCATCAAAATGCCTCTTTTCAGCTCATGTTTCTGCGACAAAGACAAACTGGTCCTTTTGTTTTGTCACACTCATATCACGTTTTGCCCTCATTGATCCGTCTCCTTCATTCCATCCATCCATCCATCCATCCATCCATCCCAGTGCAAGAAATGGCCACTCAAAAAAGAAAACGAGAGGAAGAGAGAGTTCAAAATAGAATGAGATGGGTCATGACTAAAGAGAGCAAACAAATCAACAATGCCTTAACCGAAAAGTTCACTGGCTAGTATTATTCATGTAAATTACAACAGGCAGGGAGCCCGTTGGCAATGTCACACAGATGAAACGTTCAATGCTACATCCTTAATATCAATTTGCATCCTGCAAGTTCACTATACAAGTGCAAGTCTTTCGAGTAAGAAGACCCTAATCATATCAACCACGAAAAAGCAAACAAAAACCACAAATGAAGCATTTGATTTTAAAGCAAACGCGAGGGCCAATTGCCCAGTTATTCCGAAAACCTCAACAAATAAGTTTAACGGTGGCCCTAAAGAAAAAGCTCGAATAAGCTGACAAAATTTCAAAAGCCAACTTGTAAACACATGGGAACTACATCTGGTATGATAGAGAGAAGTACATTTTGCAGCCTAACCTGCTACACAGCCACAGGAACTGCAGCAGGAGCTTGAACAGGTTTAACTGTAGGAGAGAAAAGGTTCAAGACATCGGCATGTTCCCGAATATATCCTGGGCATTTTGAGAGGAGATCTTGGGCGGCACTGCGCCTTCCACTTTTCAAGATTGCTTCAAACACTTGGAGCACCATAGGAGTAGATGGAAATTTCTTAGAAGCAGTAATCGACTTCAAAAATATGACACCATCATCAGCTGTTCCATTCTTGGATAAGTAACTAATAAATGGATCCACAAAAGGCGGGAATCCGTGGGATCTCATAGAATCCAAAAGACTCACAGCATCCTTAAACCCGCCCTCCTGAACCAAAGACTTGCTTATCAGAAGCTTGTAAGTAGTTTGAAAGGGCTTCAATTGGTTTTCCTTGACACATTGATGTAGAAGACTGCATGCTTCTGTAGCTTGGTCCTTGCTGCAATAAGCAGATGCCAACAATTCAAAGGCATAACTAGCAGTATTACAAATACCTAGTTTGGAAGCCATCTGTTGGAAACAAGCAGATGCTGTTTCAAGATCGCCAGATGCACAGTGGCCTTTGATTAGTGGTACCCAAGCTTTCTTTTCTATACAGCTTCCAAAAGCTTCTAGAAAAGCATTCGCTTCGTTCTTCTTATGAGAACTACCAAGTTTGAATGCAATCTTACCCTGCAGATTTCCACTAGCAGTAAATCCACATTCCTTCATTTCTTTCAAGACTTTGTTGCACTCTTCATATCTACCAGCAGTGGTTAGAGATTTGAGAACTGAATCAAGCATAGAGTCGGTTAATGCATTCCCAGCTCCAGTATAGATCTTCATTACCCTCGAGAATAGAACCATATCCAGCTGCTTGGCTGCTGCTATTTTTCTCAATATAAAGACGCAGCAAGACAATGGAGGCTTGTTTACACCAGCCATAGCAAACTCGTACAAGTCCACAACCTCATTGTGCAGTTTTCTTTTGGCAAATCGTCCCAACACCTTAGCAAAAGTCTCGTCCTCCATTTCATACCCCTTGCTCTTCATTTCATCTGTAACCTTACAGAATCTATCTATACAATCCTCCCTCCCCAGTACTCTGGCTATCGCATTGTAACTCCCCTGATCATGAGTAAACAACCCACTCTCATCAATCCACCTGAAGAATATCAAGGCTTTGTTTGGTTCCATTGCTAAACTGTCCACCACGGTCTTCACCAAATCTGTTGAATATGTGACATGGAATTCCTTTATCTGTGTTTCGACATCTTCCGACCAAACATTATTTCTTATGACCCTAGAAATTCTTACACCAAGCTTCTCCACCGAATCGTCTGCTGATGCTGATGTAAAAACTGCTCTCAACTTCCTTAGATCACTATCAAGTCCCTCTTTCTCAAATTTATCCTTCACTCTATCATGTGTAACCCTCGACATACCATAACCCTTTTTCGCCATCATTACAACCAAATCCCAAAACTCCACCGTGCAACCGTTCGTGCCTAGAATCCCTAGCATCCAGTTATACCCTTTGGAGCTCAATCTCTGTTCATCCTTCTCCAAAACCCAACCGAAAAACCGCCTAGCTGCATCGACATTAGACTGCAGAGACTTCAACACTCTCAACACCAAATCATGAGTAAGAACCACCCCAGATTGTTCCAACTCTCTGCCTATATCATTGACGTCGCTGAATTTAGTGAACACATCTGACACGTGCAAATGATTATTATCCGAATCCTTGCTTGGTTCAGCCATTGGCTCGGAAGAGAAATGACGAGGGCTTAGAGACGGAGATAGCTGGGGGAGCGTACGAAGGGACGAGAGATACGGCGAGCAAGAGGCCTTTACCTGGCGCTGAAGATGGGGAGAAGTGGACGAGACGTGGGGCGATGAGCGAGTGTAAGTGCGGAGAAGGAGCAATCGCCATGAGTGTCTCATTTTGGAGCTTGGGCTTTGATCGATGATGAACAGAGAGCGAAGAATCAGCTTTGGGCAGTGGAGCTGCAAACTACAAGGCAACAGTTAGGGTTTTAGAAGCGGTTGAGGGAACATTACTTCCTCGATCATTAATCTATATAAGCATTGCTCGTTTCATCATCTATCTTTCATATTTGAGTTATTTGAGTTTTTCTTGGTAAATTCCACAACTACCCACTACTCTTTTAGTTTTCATCCATTTACTCCAACTACCTGAAATTCAAACCGCGGAATAGGAGTTATAGAACCCGCGAAACAAAAGAAAAGAGGATGACTTGCTGCTTCCATCGATGGTTCATGGCAGATCACCAAGCTCGCGCCTTTCTCAATTTGCACCATTCTTCTCGCAGTTTCAGCCCTCACAGATTCGTTTCCCCTACAGACCCATATCCATCTTGTGCTTCTCGAGTTCTGCTACAGCTTCAAACGGAGCCACAGAATCGACCTACAAGCTCACAACTTTTTCCCACATTTATTAAGAATGCTCGCTGCAAAGAGCCCTAAACCCGGGCAAACAAGCCCATGCTCGAATGGTTGTTTCTGGGTTTGTGCCGACGACTTTTGTTTCGAACTGTTTGATGCAAATGTATGTCAGGTGTTCGAACTTGGTCGATGCGAACAAACTGTTTGACGGAATTGACTCAGAGAGATGTGGTTTCTTACAATGCGGTAATTTTTGGGTACGCTGGCTGTGGGGAGATGGGAATCGCGAGGAAGATCTTCGATGAGATGCCGGTGAGAGATGTCGTATCGTGGAACTCGATTATTTCGGGGTTCTTGCAGAATGGAGAGCATGGGAAGGCAATGGCTGTTTTCTCTGAAATGGGTAGATCAGGTGTGAAGTTGGATAGGACGACTTTTGCTGTTGCTCTAAAAGCTTCTGCTGGTTTAGGAGATTGCTATGTGGGTGTTCAGATTCATGGGTTAGCAATCAGGTTGGGGCTCGTTAATGACGTTTTCACAGGCAGTGCGCTGCTTGACATGTATGGAAAATGTAATCGGGTGGATGATTCGCTCAGGGTGTTCCGAGAGATCCCAGAGAAAAACTGGGTTTCATGGAGTGCCATGATTGCTACTTGCACTCAAAATGATAGATTGTTCATGGGGTTAGAGCTGTTCAATGAGATGCAAAACACTGGAGGAGTAGGGGTCAGTCAGTCAATCTATGCCACCATTTTCAGATCCTGTGCAGGCCTATCTGCTTCAGATCTAGGAGCTCAATTCCATTGTCATGCTATCAAGACTGATTTTGGATCAGACGTGATAGTGGGAACTGCAACACTCGATATGTATGCAAAATCTGGAAGCATCGGAGATGCTCATAAGATATTTAACTCTATGCGAAAGCATAATCTACGGTCGTACAATGCCATTATTGTTGGGTATGCAAGATGTGGTGAAGGATTAGAAGCTATGTTGTTATTTCGATGCCTGTTGAAGTCCAACTTAGGTTTCGATGAAATAACTCTATCAGGAGCATTCTGTGGTTGTGCGTCAATCAAAGATTAGTTTCTGGGACTGCAATGAATGCATTAACGATGAAGACTGTTTTTGGCACAAATGTCTGCGTGGTGAATGCCATGATTGACATGTATGGTAAATGTGGAGCTTTATTTGAAGCTACCTCTGTCTTCAATGAGATGATATACAGGGATGCAGTGTCCTGGAATGCCATAATTGCAACTAATGAGCAGAATGGCAGTGAAGATAACACACTTCCGCTTTTCTCTTTGATGCTTCAGTTTGGAATGGACCCTGATGAATTCACCTACGGCAGTGTACTTAAAGCATGTGCAGGCCAGCAATCTGTAGGCAGCGGCAAGGAAATCCATGGAAGAATCATCAAATCCGGATTGGGTTTGGAGCCATTCATTGGGGGTGCTCTTGTTCACATGTACTGTAAATGTGGAGCTATGAAGGAGGCCAAGAAAATCCACGATAGAAGTGACCCACAACCGATGGTTTCATGGAATGCGATTATTTCAGGATTCTCATTGCTACAACAGAGTGAGGAAGCTCAAAGCTTCTTCCTTTACATGCTAGAAGCCGGTGTAAAGCCTGACAACTTCACATATGCTCAATTCTTGACACCTGTGCTAACTTAGCTACGGTTGGTCTAGGAATGCAGATTCATGCTCAGGTCATAAAGCAACAACTGCAGTCCGATGTGTACATATCGAGTACACTGGTGGACATGTATTCAAAGTGCGGTAAACTTCAAGATTCAGAACTTATGTACGAGAAAGCACCAAAAAAGGACCTTGTGGCATGGAACAGTCTGATATGCGGTTATTCACAGCATGGTCTTGGAGAAAAGGCATTGATGGTATTTGAGGAGAAGAGACCTGAGAAAGTGAACCCAAACCGCGCCACTTTTCTTTCAGTTCTTCGAGCGTGTGCACACAAGGGACTTCTCGGTACAGGAATGTGTTATTTTCACACTATGCAAAAGGAGCATCGTTTGGAACCTGAAATTGAGCATTATTCATGTATGGTGGATCTTTTAGGGAGATCAGGGAAAACTGAAGAAGCTCTGGGGCTTATTGAGGGAATGCCATTTGAAGCTGATGCTGTTATATGGAGGACTCTGCTCAGCATTTGCAAGATTGATGGAAATGTGGAAATTGCGGAGAAGGCTGCAAGTTGTATTTTTTGCAGTTAGAGCCGGATGACTCTTCTGCTTATATTCTTCTCTGCAACATTTATGCTGATGCTGGGATGTGGGGCAAGGTTTCTGCGGCTAGGAGGATGATGAAGGCGAATAGGCTTAAGAAGGAACCAGATTGCAGCTGGATTGAGATTAGAGATGAAGTGCATCGATTTGTCAGTGGAGACCAGTCCCATCTGAGATGTGACAACATATACAAAAATCTCAGCCTGCTGGTTGATGAGATGAAGTGGACTGGTGACATGTCATTTGAGTTCCACTTATAAGTTATAACTTCATTAGACTCAGAACTGAACTGAAGTGAGAGTAATGAGAATGCTAGAAAGGAGTTAACAGATGAACTATGATGATGCTCTGTGTGCATGTAGCTGCTGCTACCTGATCCTCAGCCTCCCTCAGGGGCAGTTAAAATTAGATCCCTAATATCTTCGGAAGAATTCGCGAATCTCTGGTTGGAAAAGGTAGAAAGATGCTGAAATGAATACATCCACCATTGCCATCAAAACTTGCTTTTGGTTGGACAATCCCACATCAACTACAGCCCCAGCTTTAGTCTCAGCGAACAACAACAAAGTATCAAGTCATTAGGGCTCAACATATTTAACCAGTCAGTAAAAACCCAAAAGAGATTAGCATCCAGGAATTGTAAATAATAACCTGCTTCCTTAGACGTTCTCTTTCAATAGCTAATTGCATCACTAAATCGGTCATCACTTTACTCTGAAAGCTAATGCCCTTTGCAGCAACTAATTTTGTCTCCTCACAACGATTCAAGTAAGCTTCCAGACGATCAAGTCTACCCCTCAAAAACCCGAGTTCCTCATTTAACTCTGCATTAGATTCTGACAGTACGATGCATTTATCCTCTGCACTGTCTGCATGTTCTTCAGCTTTGCAAACTTTCAACTTGAGATCCTCAATGAGATTCTCCATGTCTCCTATTGTAGAGTACAACATGGTTTGCTTCTCTTGACTAGCTTCAGTAGATGCCTCAGCATGTTGGATTCTGATATCATAATCTTTCAACTGCTTTTGTAAACCACCTACCTTCTCAGACTTGTGTTTAAGAATCTCAATTTCTTCATTGAGTTCCATGCTCGTTTCTGTCAGTAACTGGCACTTTCTTTCTTCACTTTCGGCTTTACTTTCTGCTTTCGACAGTTTTACCATCAAATCCTCATTTTCACTAACCAGTCGTGTGATTTCAGAATTCAAAATGCTATGATCCTCCTGACACTCAGATTCTTTCAGCTGCTTTTCGAGCAAACAGACCTTCTCACTTAAAGTGAAGGCTTCTGAATTAGCAAGGACTAATTTGTCCTCAGCTTCAGCCAATTTGGCTTTCAGGCTATCAGTTTGTGCTAGAAGGAAGTCATTCAGCTTTGAACTACTGCTATTGAACTTCTGCAGAGCAGTTTCTTTTGCGTCCAATTGGTCTGAAGATCCTTTTAAGCCTCGATTTCAGATAAGCCTCTCTCTGGCTCGTGCAAGAAAAGACTGCAAGAGTCATGTTCAGCTAAAAGAAACGATTAGGAGCATTCGATTGATACCTAGAACAAAAGCTATCTGTTAAAGACCAACTGCAGAAATAGTCGTTTAGTCCAACATATTAACACATATTGTAGTTAATTCTCAACTAGCCAACACAGTAATGGAAGTATACATATGTCGGAAGGTAATCTGCAATGTAGTCCACATTAGTACAATCTTACCAGAAGTGGTCATTGTATCAACTAAATTATCAACCATTCAGAAACTAAGTCCTGAATCATTGGAACTAATTCAAGTTGTATCCTGGATATATCAGCATGCAACATATTAATCTTCATCCAGAAGTAAAGGAAAAGTGACATGAATGTAAGTAGAAAGTGCAGCAACCCACTATGCAGAACCAAAATGATTTTCTTACAGGAGAGGCAGAACAAGATTCATCACTCACTTGCACATAATGAATCCTGCCGGCCATCATATTATTTTTGCAGCTATAGAATGGATACTATACTAACTTGCCAGTAAACAAGCAAAGACTTCAAGTTCAACAAAGGCGAACCACAGATAAGTATGTACTTTCGTGATACAGAGTAAGCATTGATGATGAACCACATTCATGACGCAGAAAACTCTTGTTTCCAATCATCACACTGTAATAATAGCAAATCGAAGTAGGTTCAGACTTTCCAATTGAAAATACAGAACCATGTCCCAGTAGCTGGTTCTCATAATTTCACTTACTGTCCTTTTCTTAAACTCTCTAGTAGGTATACATAGAGGTAAACCAAGAAAATAATAACCAACCAGCACATTCATTATTAAATAAAAGGATTGGAACACAGGCTGCAATAAGAGTACAAAGTATTGTCATGGCTGTTGGAAATCTTTTTTCATTCGTAGATGTCTGCTGATATAATGATTCAGATTGAGATGGATCAGAGGGGGAAAATCATTTCAAAGTAACCCACATAGGGACATAACACGATAGATCAAAATCTGACATAATGTAGAGCTTGGGCTTTCAGTTAACAAACTGTCCTGGTCGTATGAAAATGAGAAGCAAAGGGACACAAGATCTAGAGCAACAACATGGCCACCAATCCATGTATATATCGTTAGTATCTTTCACTCATTCAAAAATTCCATTCTAAGACTCCATTTATGAATTTATCTTAGCAAGATAAAGCAGACGGGCAACTGGAATGATAAATAATCTTCACTTTCGGACAAACAGCATTCTTAATCAAGTATGGCCACCAATCCATGCCTTTTCACATAGAGTATAATCATTCCAAGTTCCCATCTACAAGTTCCCATCTAGGACTCTAGTAAGGGCATCTACTGAGCAAGGTTAGAGCAGAAGGGCAACTGGAATGACTAAAGACAATTTCAATTGTAGGGACAACGGGACACAACTTTCGGATCAAGTTCCTTTCTCAAACATGGCCACCAATCCATGTATTTTATTTGGTTACTATTAGTCATTCCAAATTCCCTTCTAGGACTCTTGTAACTTTCACATTATAGGATATAGCATAAGGGCAACATGGCTACAGATTTGTGGATCACTAGACTGCAATGGGGACACAAGGTGACCACAGAGTGAATGAAGCAACTTAATAGGTGTAAATATATGGAACAACCTGTTGGCAACATAAATATTCGGACAAGCATAATCAGTCGTTATAAACCATATAAATAGTAGTATTAGAATACTTCAGCAAAATCTTCTCATTCACTTGAGACTGCAGCAAGTGAATCATCAAAGACACAGCTCTAAAGATTTTCCATCCGGCATAAGAAATTCAAGGCAACAGAGAAGGGACCTTAGGAATTATACCAGAGGAGACTTCTCCACCAAGCGACAAAACATCAACATGGATCCCTCACAAAGTCATACCCGCAAACGGACCGCACAGTCATGGCCCCGCACCCAAACCCTAACTGGATTGTTAATCTAACGGGAAAAACCTAACCATCAATTTTGCTTGCTACTGTAAAAAACCAAACAACAGCCAGTATATGCAAATTCCACCACCAATTAGTCACGTTCCCAACAACCTTACTTCATTGATCATCCACAATTTCGGTTCAGAAGAAGAAAGACAGCCACACTCATGTATCTCAAACCGTAAGAATTAGGGCTTACAAAGCGACGAAACGGGTCTCAATAAAATTCGGAAGAGCATTTGCGTAGAAAAGCAAAGACGAAGAGGCAATAGGAACAAGAAGAAGAACATGAAGATTCATTCCCTCACCGATAAACCCCGACAAAAGCCTTACAATGTCGCTCTGAAATTTCTGCCGCAAACGGCAACGCCGATGGAGCGGAGACACAGCCTCAGAGTCAGAGAGATACACCACAACTCTCTACTCGCCGTTAGAAAACCAATCGCAGGGAGCAACTCGTCGCCGGCCCCCTTGGCAAGCTCTCATTTTGGGACGCGTCTCTGAAATGAGAAGGATCTCTGCGAAAACGAATGTTTCAACGAAAAGAGTATGCCTATGTATATATAGCAGTGGGAAACTATAACGTTGGGGAGTCGGTTATACTTACCGCCATACCCATGTAGCGCGAGTAATCTACACGTTGGATTGGACGCGTCTCATTGACCAAGTCAACCCGTGTGTGATACGCGTAGCGGGGTAATGGGCCCTAGTTGGGCTTTTGCTTTTAATTTGGGTACACAAAATTGGGATTGTGTTTCCTTAAATTGGAAAGGATTGATTGTTTGAGCCAAAATAACAAATGTTTTATCAAAATAAAATTAACAAACAAATGTTAGTTAAGTCTCTTCAAGTCTCTTAAATATCACAAGCTCCCTCTTTAATTTCCCATTCGTATTTCATTTTCTCATATTTAAAGAATTATAATCGGATTAACAAATTTTCTCTCATTAATAAAAGAAAATTATACACTATGGAAAATACTATTCATGCAGCGAACTTGTGACACTATCATTCTCTGAGTACATATATTCCATAGTACTACAATTCATGTATATTTAAAACATATATATAACTATTATATAAACAAAAGTCCATTTATACACCCAATTTTTTTGGGTTTTCATCCAAAATATAAATTTAGCTGTTATGCTTACTCGATTTTGTTTTAGTGAGTTTGGTCGCCTTTCTGACTCTTTTCTTCCTACGATACTTTGAAAACTGTTACCATTGTTTTAAGAATGATGAGTTGTTCAATGGATTGAAAGAAATTGATGATTAGCTCAGTTGATGGTGAGCACAAAAGTAATCTATCATATCTATTGGTTTATTTGCTTCTCAAACTCGTATTGATTTTATTTGATATTGTTAAAAGAGTTCTTTAAATTTTGGAGTTACATAAATAACACGCTTTGAAATCAAACAGGCAATCAGTTCGTAAATGACTGTTTAGTAGGATATTAAATATAAATAAGGACAAAATTTTGTAAAATATAAATGGGTGGTAGTTGAAATTTAAAAAATTAAATTTATTATATAAAAAATAAAGTATTTAGTAGTTATTTGGAAGTTACGGTTGCTTTGTAGATAGCTGAACCCCATTGACAGCACCATTTGCATGCTGCTGCTGAGTCCCCCATCAGGGGGAGCGGGGTCACGCTCCCGGAAGACCCTATTACAATCCAAACTCAAATATTATCCAGATTCGTATATAACTTCCGGCAACTGATAGTAGAAGAACGAATATGGAGAAGAGTAAGATTGCAGTTCGAAGCACGAGTTCTTAGATATGAAATTCCACATACAAACACAATGGACCTATTTGTAAAATTTTAGGTACTAAATTGTAAAAATAAATAAATTTGGTACCAAAACATAATTTTCCATCAAAATTTAAGGATTTATTTGTAAAAAAATAAAGTTTAGGTACTAAATTGTAAGAAAAAATCATTTTGGGTACCAAATTGTAATTTGTTTAAATTTTGTGTGTTGATAAGGGTCGACCCACTGACCTGACCCTACCCGCGAGGGTTATACAAGGTTAAGAAGAAAACAGGGACGGGGTCGGATCAGTTATACATCTTGATCTTTCAGGGGCGGGTTTAGACAGGTTCAAGGGCGGGGTCAGGGTAAATTTCAGCCCTAACTGAAGCAAATAAAGGACCAAATGTAGGAAGAGACATTCGACTTCCTCTCACTACAGACTGCCAAGTTTTAAACAAAACGAGAACCCTAGAATTTATAGTGCTTTTAGAGAAGTGACCGTTTACAGAGAGACTTGCGAAGATCATGAGTAGCTTCCATAGAGCAACGTCCACTTCTGGCCATCATGAGCTCCAGTAGAAAGGTGTTATAGAGGGGCAACTGCTTTTGGAGAATCACGAGAAGCCTGTCGTCGAGAAGCAGATAGGACAATGGAGAGGATGCTCGAGACTGTTGCTGAAGACTTAGAAGGATGATTGAGGTAAAGCCTACAACAGAGTGAGGAAGCTCAAAGCTTCTTCCTTTACATGCTAGAAGCCGGTGTAAAGCCTGACAACTTTACATATGCTGCAATTCTTGACACCTGTGCTAACGTAGCTACGGTTGGTCTAGGAATGCAGATTCATGCTCAGGTCATAAAGCAGCAACTGCAGTCCGATGTGTACATATCGACTACACTGGTGGACATGTATTCAAAGTGCGGTAAACTTCAAGATTCAGAACTTATGTACGAGAAAGCACCAAAAAAGGACCTTGTGGCATGGAACAGTCTGATATGCGGTTATTCACAGCATGGTCTTGGAGAAAAGGCATTGATGGTATTTGAGGAGAAGAGACCTGAGAAAGTGAACCCAAACCGCTCCACTTTTCTTTCAGTTCTTCGAGCGTGTGCACACAAGGGACTTCTCGGTACAGGAATGTGTTATTTTCACACTATGCAAAAGGAGCATCGTTTGGAACCTGAAATTAAGCATTATTCATGTATGGATAGATGGGAATGTGGAAATTGCGGAGAAGGCTGCAAGTTGTATTTTGCAGTTAGCGCCGGATGACTCTTCTGCTTATATTCTTCTCTGCAACATTTATGCTGATGCTGGGATGTGGGGCAAGGTTTCTGAGGCTAGGAGGATGATGAAGGCGAATAGGCTTAAGAAGGAACCAGGTTGCAGCTGGATTGAGATTAGAGATGAAGTGCATCGATTTGTCAGTGGAGACCAGTCCCATCTGAGATGTGACAACATATACAAAAATCTCAGCCTGCTGGTTGATGAGATGAAGTGGACTGGTGACATGTCATTTGAGTTCCACTTATAACTTCATTAGACTCTGAACTGAAGTGAGAGTAATGAGAATGCTAGAAAGGAGTTAACAGACGAACTATGTGACAAATCTTAGCAAGAACTAGTGGTTTCTCTCAGTACAAGAACACAAAAACTAGCAGAAACTACTAGGAGTTAACTACTATAACTATGCGTCGCAACTCACAGTTTGTCAGTTGAAAGAACACAAAAATTTGCAGTAGCCGCTGATGATGCTTTGTGTGCATGGAGTTGCTGCTACCTGATCCTCAGCCTCCCTCAGGGGCAGTTAAAATTAGATCCCTAATATCTTCGGAAGAATTCGCGAATCTCTGGTTGGAGAAGGTAGAAAGTTGCTGAAATGAATACAACCACCATTGCCATCAAAACTTGCTTTTGGTTGGACAATCCCACATCAACTACAGCCCCAGCTTTAGTCTCACCATCCAACATGGTTTCCCGACTACCCTCCACCTGCAGAAACGGCATTGAAGATTAGATTAAATGATGCCAAAGATGAATTCTGGGCAAAATGATTCAGAAGAAGAGCGGGAATAGGATTGCCAAATCAACTTTTGCATGCCAATAACTTAATAGCTATCTATGTGGGTAAAATGGAGACGATTTCAACAAGCTATATAATTGATAAAATTGAAAATAAAATTGAAAAGTGAACACTTCCAAAAACACAAATTTGGGTAGTAGAAATGTAGAATTCTGAAAGTGATGGATTGCACAAATCCACGAATTTGAAAAGTAAAAGATTATGACAAGTGGATTTCAAATTTTTGTTAAGTGGGATGTATGATTTCAGTACAGGATTTGCTGTGAGTGAATTGCGTTCTAACATTAAAAGAAATGACCTTGTTACGTTCGGTAACATAGATGAGAGAATGGTTGATGGGAAGTTGGAAGCTAAGTAACCAAAAAAGATAGAAGAGAAAAGACAATATTAGATATGGATTTTATTTTACAAACCCTCATCTAGAGGTGACTTTTTCAAATCCATGGATTTGACACCCTCATGGATTCTGACTCCATGATCCAAATCCTATACTCACTATTTAAAAGGTTTAGTACCATCCAACCCTCGCCACACATTTCATGTTTCCATATGCAAGCAAGACAGCCATTATTGATTCAGTTACCATGAACACAACTCGCAAATGATTTGTGTTGGCAGCAGCAAGAGAAGATGGGAATTGCAGTAAGAACTGGTCGTCTCTCTTCAAACATTCAAATACAAGCAAATTTAGGTCATAACAGCCACTCACTCCAACTTACCTTTGAACCACCAGCCAGGATATCAGATTCCTTTTTATCAGTAGCTAAATGCTTTTCATCTTCTGTCTGCTGCCGCTGTGTTAACAAGGTTCTATTCTCTAATGCTAGAGATGAAAGCTGCAAACAACAACAAAGTATCAAGTCATTAGGGCTCAACAAATTTAACCAGTCGGTAAAAACCCAAAAGAGAGAGCATCCAGGAATTGTAAATAATAACCTGCTTCCTTAGACGTTCTCTTTCAATAGCTAATTGCATCACTAAATCGGTCATCACTTTACTCTGAAAGCTAATGCCCTTTGCAGCAACTAATTTTGTCTCCTCACAACGATTCAAGTAAGCTTCCAGACGTTCAAGTCTACCCCTCAAAAACCCGAGTTCCTCATTTAACTCTGCATTAGATTCTGACAGTATGATGCATTTATCCTCTGCACTGTCTGCATGTCCTTCAGCTTTGCAAACTTTCAACTTGAGATCCTCAATGAGATTCTCCATGTCTCCTATTGTAGAGTACAACATGGTTTGCTTCTCTTGACTAGCTTCAGCAGATGCCTCAGCATGTTGGATTCTGATATCATAATCTTTCAACTGCTTTTCTAAACCACCTACCTTCTCAGACTTGTGTTTAAGAATCTCAATTTCTTCATTGAGTTCCATGTTCGTTTCTGTCAGTAACTGGCACTTTCTTTCTTCACTTTCGGCTTTACTTTCTGCTTTCGACAGTTTTACCATCAAATCCTCATTTTCACTAACCAGTCGTGTGATTTCAGAATTCGAAATGCTATGATCCTCCTGACACTCAGATTCTTTCAGCTGCTTTTCGAGCAAACAGACCTTCTCACTTAAAGTGAAGGCTTCTGAATTAGCAAGGACTAATTTGTCCTCAGCTTCGGCCAATTTGGCTTTCAGGCTATCAGTTTGAGCTAGAAGGAAGTCATTCAGCTTTGAACTACTGCTATTGAACTTCTGCAAAGCAGTTTCTTTTGCGTCCAATTGGTCTGAAGATTCTTTAAGCCTCGATTTCAGATAAGCCTCTCTCTGGCTCGTGCAAGTCAAGTTGAACTGTAGAACTTGAAGTTGACCTAATAGCTCTTTCGAGGTTCCCATCAGAATCTCAGCAGTATTTTCTGCTGCAAAACACCTTTCCCAAACATCAATTACTTCTTCATCCATAAAATATGCATCTTCCTCTGCTGACTGTAGCCTATGTCTCAGTTCTTCTTCAAGTTGATTTGACTCGGCCAGCTTCTTTTCATGATCGATCTCCCTCGCCAAGGACTTCTCAAGCATCCTCAAGATCTGTCTTTGGTGTTCTGCTGTTTTCATATCAATCATTGAGTTTTTGTTTGCCGGTTGGTCATTTTCCGGGGAGTACATCCCTCCATTTCCCCCTATCAGCAAGAAATGCATCATTAGTGAGCTAAGGCTAAGGGGTCATATGGAACCATTTGATTCTTAAATTGTGGGGTTACAGAATAAAGATTTCAGGAATACATATTATTTTACGGATACATCGTTCGGAATGTAATGTATGATAAAGAAGAACATAGTAAACGATGATGGATTTAGAATCTCGCCAACTAGAAGAGATTATGAATGCATCACTTTTTGAATATTTATTCTTCTAATACACCATGATTTCAAACAACTCTTTTGTCAAAAAAAAATATGTATTATCTGATATACATGCATTCTAAATTACTCAGCATAAGAGGTTCCAAACGACCCTTAATTTCCCTAGGTTATCTAGATTCAATCTTTCGGAACCACAACCATTTTTATGGCATTCTGAACTTGCGTATTTTGAATAGACAGAGCAGTGGAAAGAAAAAACAGCCAACACAACTAAGACCCAAATTAAGTAAACCTGAAGAACCGCATACCACTTGGTTCGCCATGCACGGATGATAAGGTCCTCCTAAACTCAGAAGATTGGGCACAAATGTCTGACACTTGATCTTGCAACTGTTGCAATGAGGCCTTGCAATCTTGCAACTTTTCTTCCAGCACGAAAGATATGCCCCCTGCATCTTTATATGAAAACAATATACCACTAACCTCATCTATATCAGCCTGCAAATTCCCTAGGAATTGATCCAGCTCTGACACCAAGAACTCCAAAATCCCAGATAATAGATCAAACTCCAGACCTTTCCCTGCTGTATCGGAAAACAAATCTACATTTGATGCTGAAACAAGGGCCTCAAAGTCACCTTCCCTGTTTGCCACTTGCATTGTGAACAGACTCAAATTAAGCGACTTCTCGGAAGCATAAGCCAAATCTAATTCTACTCGAGTTAGAATATCCCCTGGATTTATCTCAACCACCTCTCCATTTGATGATATCTCCACATACAAGTCTGTTTTACTCGAGTCAGCCATCATATCACTATTGTTGATATCATCAGGAAATGCACTGATCTCATATGCATCAGCCATTCTGATGGCCGCTTGCTTCTTCTTCTTCTTCTTCTTCTTCTTCCCTCGGCTTCTAAATCAACTGTCTGTTGTTCAGCATCAAATGCCAAAAGGAAAAAGGAGAGAAAATAAGGATTCAGTGGACATACGAAGAAAGTAAGATTTAAGAACTTGCATTAAGGTGACTTGTTCAACTACAAATCAGGGGAAAAGCTACAATCACTTCATTTGCTTAATTGTGCCAAGATATTGTGTAAAACACAAATTTTAGGAACATGACTGGTTAAAAACTAGAAATTAAAGTTCATAAAAATCACAGCAATATCAAGATATAAAGATCTGGTAACACAGACATATTTGCAGAAGACTAATAATAGTCGAACCAGTCGCATCATGCTAATAACAAGGCAGGACATGGAATAGATTGGCTGTAAGAACAATAAAACTAAAAAAAGCAAACCCCAATGATGAAACACGGCTAAATTACACGTTTGGTCACTCGAATTACATTAATCTTTCACATTTGCCACCCGAATTATTTTTCTTTCTTACTGACCACCAACTTTACGAATTGTTTCACCGTAAGTCACCCACCGTTAGTCTCCGTTAGATTCCGTTAACTCCGTCAATTTTTTGATGACGTGGCAAACGGAATTGCTGACTGTACCATTAATTTAATGACATGTCAATTAAAAAAATATAAAAATATAAAAAAATCCCATTTCCCCCTTCCACTCTTTCTCACTAATCTTCAAACCATTCCCTTCCTTACAGCAGCCGCCGCTGAAGGCCAACGCCTGAAAACCACCATCCAGCTCTGTCAGTTATCTCGCCATAAAACCACCCTCGTCGTCTTCTCCTTCTCCCTCTCTTCCCATCGCCTCCATCTAGATCCCTCCTGACACCTTCCTCTCAGCTGAAGAAGCAACTTCTCAAGCAAGAGATAGTCTTACCATCGAGATCGACCATAACATTTGGGCAAGGCATACGCAAATCGTGGCCAAGGTGAAGGATATAATCCACTGCGTAGTAAATAAACCCCAATTCAAAGTGAGACATTCATGAAACGGAACCCTAATTAAAAGCTGCAATTCAAATCCCCAATGTGCCAGGCGTCAAATCGCGATGGACGACCACAATCCGGTGGCAGGCGTCGAGGCCGGAGAGATTTTGCATCAGCCACCGCTTGACCTCACCGGGGCGGATCCCTCCCTTCATCTTCCCTTCCCGGATTACTAACGCCAAGTCGGAGTGTGGAAGTCGGAGTAAGCGTCGGAACCGACCCGCTCGTGGATTCAGTACTTAGTGATAGTTTCGTGTCGAGGTAGATGCTCCAGTCCTGGGAGGCGGTGGCGCAGGCAGTTGCGGCGGGGGAGATGTGGGCTTTCATTATTTTTTTGTTTCTGTTTATTCTGCCGGTGGGTTTGGGTGTCTGTGGAGTGTGAGAGCAAGGCGGGTAGGTTTTGCGGGTGAGGGAGCGAGAAGACCTTTACTAGTTTTAGAGAGATGAGAAATTGGAAGATAGAGAGTTTGTTTGGGCGAGGGGTAAATTAATTTTATTTTATTTTTTAATTGTTATTTTATTAAATTAATTGTACAGTCAGCAGTTCCGTTTGCCACATCATCAAAAAACTGACGGTGTTAACGGAATTTAACGGAGACTAACGGTGGGTGACTAAAGGTGAAATAATTTGTAAAGTTGGTGACCAATAAGAAAGAAAAGTAATTGGGGTGGCAAACGTGAAAGATTAATGTAATTCGAGTGACCAAATGTGTAATTTAGCCGATGAAACACTATGTTAATTCACCACAAACACCAGCAAACGATTAACAGCTTCAGCCAACAAGGGACAGATGTTCAGGTTGAATTAGAAGAAGTAATCATGATCAACTGGTGAACAAAGAACCTCTTATTTTTATTTATCACATAAAAACACCAGATTTCAGAACTCGGGCTTTCACCATCTCAAGTTTTTGAATCCTGTGAGTGTACGTTATGCAAAGAGCACTTTCAGCATGCCACATTGCAATTGAATGAACGAAGTCTTATCGACCATTTTTATGCAGTCCAAGCACGAACCGACCAGGCGAGAACCACAATGCAGTTACTTTTCCTAACTAACCTATGATACAAACAGAAAGCGATTCATGTGAATCAAACTAATCCTAGAATCTAAAACCGAGCATACACCTTAATACGTAATAAACTAATTTGCGCTTGTGCATTTAAAGGACAAACTTCCAACTTCCCTGATCAAAATGATTTGGTTTCTATCAAGAAATTTTGCCATTCTTCATAACTACAAAAACCCGCATCAAAATAATGCGCAGGGGCGATCAGGAAACACTGAGAAGCGGAATAAAGGCGCAAACTTTAACGAACCTGGGAACGAAGGGATTTCCGGAACCGGCAGAAGTAACTCGCATGATTTGCTTGCTTGTTGCCCCACTTCTATGGAGGAAAGGCGATCTATCGACGGACAAATACAGATAACTGAAAAGGGAAAGGAAAAAAGAAGCCTTTCTTCGATGAACGCCACCTGGGCGTTGAGGTGTGCGAACCACGCACGAAGTACGAACAGAAACTTTTAGAAGCTAGAAGTGAAGCCTTTCCCAAAAGAATAAAAATTGTTTATTTTAATTCACTCTTTTTCTTCTCTAATTCCTGAAAATTTTACAGAAAATATTTTCATTCCTATAACTTCATAGCTTAAAATGAGAAATTGTTGATTAAACAAGAATTGATTTGAGGATATGATTGGTCTATTTATTTTCACTCTTAAATTTATTATTTAAAATGAGTCGATTTTATATGTGTTTATTTATAATATGTCAATTTAGAATGCTAGATGGGCTACTACATGTGTTTGTTTATAATTTTTTTTGTTTAATAGTCATCGCTTCATTAACTGTTTTTAATGGCTTAATATCGATCGGAATACCAAAATGTGAAATGTTCGTTATATCAATTCATACTCCAATTCGTTTCTGGCAGCATTGAAAAAAGTATAGAATCCAAACTTTTTCCTGAAAATAATATATAAATATATATATATATTATAGGTGGCGTATTCGGTGCACCCACTTTTTCGGGTGCACTCAGTGCACCCGCCTCATAATTGTCATTCTGACCATGCGATTCATGTCAAAACGGTATCAAAAGTTACTTATGATATTATGAAAAAGAAGCACATGAATTTTAAAAAAAATCATTCAAAATTTACTTTAATTTGAAGGATTTAGGATTTAGGGATTTAGGGTTAGGGTTTAGGTTTACAATTTGGGATTTTGGGTTGGGATTCAAAATTGAAGGTTAAGGGATTAGGGTAATGGATTGATTTGTTATGATTCTATGTCATATCATCATATTATATTGAGAGTACTAATTAAAGTTCAAAATTTGATGTATTATTGACGCTTTTAGAGTTGGGTGCACTGAGTGCACCCAAAAAAGTGAGTGCACTGAAGTAGTCACCTTATATTATATATATATATATATGATTATGTCTTCTGTGCACTCACTTTTTTAGGTGCATTCAATGCACCCGCCTCATAATCGTCATTTTGAGCAGACGAATCATGTGCAAACGATGTCAATCATCCCTTGTAGTATGATGAACAAGAACCACATGAATTTGTACAAAAATCATTCAAGATTCACTTTAATTTGAATAATTCAGGGTTTAGGAATTTAGGGTTAGAGTTAGGGTTTACAATTTGGGATTTTGTGTTTAGATTCAAAATTGAATGTTAATAGGTTAGGGAAATGGGTTGATTAGTTGTGATTTTGTGTTATATCATATGAGACTAATGCTACCCATGTATTATGACCACTTTTAAAGGTGGGTGCACTGAATGCACCCAAAAAAGTGAGTGCACCGAAGTAGCCACCTATATATATATATATATATATATATATTATAATTTCCTATAAAAATTAAATAGAGTTGATTTCACCATAATGGTCGGTGTTAAAAATACTTTCATGGGTGACAGAAATTGAATAAGTTCATGTAAAAACATGAAATAAGATCATATTCGGATAACAGTAGCTCGGATATGATCAAAGAAGTTCATAATAGCTAAGATGGATTAAAGAAAATCTCAATTAACTGGGATTAGGTTGGTCACTCACACCCTTCTGAATACATACATACATTCAACGAACCACTACATAGGTGTGAAATTATGGATAGTCTTAAGTTAGTAACTAGGGAATCAGAAGTCTACAATCGATTTTCTATTTCTGCTAAACACAGTAACTACACACAGAAACTTTTTATATCAAACACTAACGATCCACAAGGGTGGCGGTTGTCTTATTTTCATGCAGAACCAGCTATGTCCAAACACGCACATATATCTAGGATCATTCAGCAGAGATTCTGCAATTTACAGACTAGGATTGGCCAGCATTAGGGTTTTCACTTTCTGGTTTTCCCAGGAAAAGATGGGGAAGATGAGCATTAGTGAGCTTAGTCCTCTTGCTGATCTCATGCTTCTTCTTCTTGATCTTTGGCTTGCTAGAAATGCCTTGAAACTCAGCTGCGGCTCGTCTCTTTGCAGTGTTGGTTGCAGGCTTCATCCCATTCTTCTGAAGATCCTTCTCAATGTCGAGCATGTCACGAGGCAATTCAATCCCTCTAAAGAGTTGTTTAAGGTCGTCATCAACCTTAATCACTACCCTAGGATCATTAGGATAGGCGATGTCCTCCTGGGAGTCAAAGTTCGATAGTAGCCAGATCTTTCCTTCAGCTTTCAGAGCCTAGTAAGACCCACACAAAAAACACATAATTTCAAGTTTATTTTTAAGACCTGGAGTTGATTAAGTAAAGACGTACGTAGCACCATCATAATAGCATGCGACATCACCATGTCGATAGATTATCAACAATAGTGATTAGATAAATGTGCTCACTAGGCAGAATCACAAGTTTGATTCACCTGAAGTTTGCTCAATAAGGAGACAAAATAGCAAGACAATCCAGATAATGTGCAGCGCAACAGCATTGAACTGCTAACTAGAATTTTTGGGCATTTAAGGACAAAGGTGTCTAATGAAACAGAATAGCCCTTGAAACCATAATTTACACACCTGTAGGTCGTCCATCACAGTAGGGTATGCATCCTTGAGATCAATGACAGCAATTCCCTCTGGAAATTTCCGTATCAAGTGCAGTAGTTGATTCTTGTCCTTCAAGTCATGCTTGGCCTATAGATATAATAATTAAAACCCAGAATGTCATCCTGTACATAGAAAAGGGAGATATATAAAACTAAATCAAGGAGAATCATTTTAGTTCAGTGATCCCAAACTGTAACAATCTATCAAGACATGTGCAACAGTGCAAGCATAGTTCCAAGTCACCTTGTAGGAGAAGTGCCTCCCATCATAGTTCACTTTCAGATTGTTCGTCAAACTCTCAAAGACAGCTTTATTGGATTTCACATCCACATATGTGGCTTCATTTATTTGATCCGAAGTGAAGGCTTGCCTTGTCTGCAGAACAGAGAAAACCGTTTACACGCCCACAACAACAAGGATCTTTCGAACACTATAAAACCACACAAATTCTGAAAGAAGTAAATATCTAAAGCAATCAAGAGCTTGAGATGCTACATCTTTCAAAAGCTCTATAACACGCTTGATCTGAGATCCCACAGGCCCCTTTCGAATGCTATTGATAATCTGAAGTCTCTCCGTATCATTCGAGAACTTGACAGGCTGAGCCGGAGCCTTAGCACCTGCTAGCTGTGTAGCTGAATAAGGCACAGACTTCGAAGTTGATAGTGGTTTAGAGGACCCTGGTTTCTGCGTAATGCTGCTTAGCATCGAGTGCATATTTTCTTGCTGCTTCTTGAACTTCTCAAGTTTCTCTTGAAGTGCCATCTATCAACCAAAAATAAACACCATCCCCCAAAAACCACCGAGTCAATCTATCAAGAATCAGAGAGTTACCCATACTTGTAAACATTCTCGCACAATCGCACCCTATAAAATTGCTATCTAGGGAGGACGAACTTCCGCCATTAGGTTTAATGCTCAAGTTAACAAATTTCAACCAGTAATCACAAATTATCGAATCGGGAACTTCTAATCTATGAACCCATTAGTTCCCAGGTGAGCTCAGGCTACGACAAAGTAGAAAGAATGGCGAAAGTCTCGTCCTTTTGCATTTCTGAAACAAAACCCTAATAATTCCATTCGAGAGCTCAAACCATCTACATGATACGAAGAGCAAATCCTAAGGCGTAGGCCGTTGCATGGAGATAGTAGAGAAAAGAGAACCTTTTGGTTGCTCGAGATAAGTTCGCGCTCTCTGCAGTTCCTGTCGCAGGGATGGGTTTCAGAATTTGCTCGTTGCGCAGCTTTATGCAAATAACGAATAAGCTCTCAGGCCTTAAAGGGAAGGGGATGGGCTTTTTAGGTGGTTTTTCTTTTATAACGACTTTGTCCTTTTCCGTGCCCGCGTTGAACCTTCTAGTTATTTTAGAGAGAGAAAATGCCAATATGGCTAATGGCTGAAAACTACCGAACCAAACCGAACATATGAATACCGGATTTCCGAAGTAGTGCAGGGGGCAAACCGAATTCGAACCGAGATATATTTCGGTTCGGATGATCTCGATTCGAATTCGGTTTTAAGGCAACACCGAACTTCCCCATTTACCCTAATATATCTCCCCATTTTCTATTATGCGCTCTCTTTTTCTCTCTGTCTCTCTCTCTCTACTCAGAGCACAACGCAAGCGGCGATTGCTCCTCCCCTCTCTGGACTCGACGACGGCAACAACTCAGGCGGCAATGGCGATCGACGGAGAAGACAACCTAGCAGCAGGCGGCGGCATGCAATTGATGGCAACGGCAACGACAACAACTCAGGTGGCGATGGCGTTCGACGGAGAGGAAAACCCGGCGGCGGCATGCAATCGACGGCAACGACAACAACTCAGGCGACGATGGCCATCGACGGAGAAGACAACCCAGCGGCGGCAGCGATTGCATGTAAATTTTGGTTTGTTTTTTCTCCTTCGTCTCTGTTTTTTATTTTGGTGCGCATCTACATCTCTCACAGAGAGAGTCCCAAATCCATATTGACGATCTAGATTCCACACCTACTACTGCTTTCTTCGTGCTTTGCATGTTGCCGATCTTCAATTCTTCTCTGTCTCCTCATTTTGCTTCTTCAATTAGAGATTTTTTTATGGATTTTGCCTCTGTTTGTTCTTTGAATGTGTTTCGTTCTTTGCTTTGCAGGTTTTTGGTTATGAGATTGGAGCGTGTTGATGCCAAGCTAAAATAGCTGACCTCGAACGTTGTAGAGTCCGGAGAGCGTTGACCTTTTGATTTGCCGTTGGATTCCAGTTCTCGAGATGAATACCTGCAAAAGAGGACCCGCCGGTTGTGGTCGGCTGGGACCTTCTCCAAAGCTCAAGTCAGTACTTGGAAATAACAAGGAGCGGCGTATAGAACCGGCTCTAGGGAGAAAGAAAGAGAAATTTTGGGGTTGGAAGTTGCCAATTCGCCGAGAAGAAGTTCGTCGGGAATTCCCCTTTTCCTATCTCGTTCAGAGAAAATGAGTTCCCTGGAATTGAGATGGATCCCCTTAGGAAACAGAAATGAACGACCTATTTATAGGCGCGTCCTGCTCCTGGTGGGGTGGCGTATCCTTTATTAGTAGTGATTTAAAACATAAAACAACAAATGGAGTTAACAACTTAATTAAAGGTTTGAGAAACTTACCTTGGTTGTGTGTGAATAATCACCCATGAACCATTATCCTCTTTACTGGCACAATAAAACCATATGTATAAAGGATATAAAATTGCATACCTTCCCACCTTTCTCCACGTGTAAGTGGTACAAGAGTTACAGGTTTTTTGGATCCAATCCAGCTCATGTACATGGATAGGTGGGTGGTAATTGTTAGAGCACCTTAACATAAACATGGAGAGAAATGGTAACTTGACCATCACCATTTTCATGTGGCCACGTAAGAATTTATGGAGGCTTTGTTGGTGGGAGAGGAAAGTAGTCATGTCCAGGTGTTTAGAGAAGAATTGGGTGGATTTACATGTGTGTGTTTAAGTAGGGCATGTCTTCTCAATAGAAAGTATATGGAAGTCATGATTGGTGGAGGGAAATGAAAGACAAAAAGGAAAACCCTTGGCCTTGCCAACTACAAGCCACATGGAATGAAGGGATTTATTTAACCCCTTTTTTATTCATGGTGTATGTGATCTGGTGGGGTAAAATGAGGGGTGGTATAATTCCCCATCAATCTAACCATGTCCATGTGTCAAAATGGAGCATGAGGTGGTGATTTCAAGGAGTTACTATCCCCATGAAATGAAAAGTGGAAAATGGGTGAAATGCCACCTAGCTTGTCTTCCACGTGGGTTGGTAAAAATGGGAGAGGAAATTGACTCATGTTTATGGGTAGCAGAATGGAAAAGAAGAGGGTCTATCAGATTGCCCCCTTATTAATAGGGTGATAAGAATCCCCTATTAGTAATCCAGTTCCTATAAATAGAGAGGGATGGAGCTTCTCATTTAGTCACTCCCATTTACTTTCCCCCTTCGTTTAATTCCTCTGCTCCTTAAACCTCTCCATACGCTACCCTCCCATTTTCTTACTTTCCATTTACTCACTCCCTATATACTTGCTCGTAAAATACAGTGAGTTTGGAATAGAGCTCATTTCTCCATCTAAATCCCACATCCACCAAGTTCTATATCTTTATCCATTGGTTCCTGTAGAGACAACCTTCATTATTAAAGCTAGGTAATATACCCAATCCAACTTTACTCTTGATTTTTTATTTTGTTGCTGTTTATATTAATATGTGGAATGTATTTGTTTTTTGTTTCGTGTGTAGGTTTACAATTAAGGTTGGAGTAATCATGTCAAAGCAAAAGTCTCATGCATCTGATCGCGAGGGATCATCTAATCCATCAATGCCTTTACGCCCAGTCCCATGTTCGGAGCCAGCTCGTGGGAGGGGCGAACAATTAGTCCCTGGGGAAGGATCAGCTGCCTCAAATCGTCGAGACACACCAACATTCTCTATTCGACCATGGCAGGGTATGTTTCATTCCACATCTCATTTCTCAGAATGGGCTATGATAGGTCCGGGTGGACGTTTTAATCGTAATGAGAGTTGGGTACGAAGTACTTTGTTGCAATTTGATATGCCGTGCCACTGGGAGTATGCGATCCCGACACGGTATACTACCCCAGGCAATCGTGGTGTGGGATGGCATGCTGTATATCGAGCATCCCTTGATTATGGGCTTCGTTTACCATTTCCGACGTGGCTATGTGAGGTGATGCGGAGATCTCATTTGACATTAAGCACGGTGACACCGGGATTTTGGACACTGGTTGCTGCTTTTCGTTTGGGTTGTCATAGGGCCGGTGTGTCACCCTCAGTAGAGCTTTTTTATGCATGCTTCTACCTTCGAGGTGAAGCTACTGGATGGTCTCTTCATAGCAGATCTAATGCGCTTGGCCTCGTGACTCCATATGGTCGTGCAGACCGGGGTTGGGAACGTGAGTTTTTCTATTTCTTTCCAGCTTCGGATGAACTTTCTTCTGAGGGTGTTATAATCCCTACTGAATGGAGGGATATCGAGTTGGAAGGACTTCACAGACAAGCGGTACGTAGAGAATACGCAGTACAAAGAGAGCTAGCCGCCAAAGTGAAAATGATATCAGAAGGAGGGCGGATTAACGTTGAGACTCCTGAGGCTCGGGCTATCCTCTTTTTCATGGTCTATAATGATGGTAAGTTTGGGTATTGTTTGTTAATATTTGAGTGATTCCTTATTACCTATATGTTTTTTCGTTTTTGTTTTTGCAGCCTACTCGCATTTTAGAGCATGTATGGAAATTCAGGAGAATGCCCTATTTACTGCGAGGTTACCGCCGCCTGCCCCCCGTCCTCAAAGTGGTGTGGTGATCCGGGAAATTTCCGAGGAGCCCGAACCAGTAGTGCCGACTTCGATTGGTGGTCAAAACAAACGAGTGCGTCGCTCCTATCCTTATCGAGGCAAGAATAATGATTCAAGGAGGAAATTCGAGGCTAGTAGCTCAAGCCATTCTGCCCGCGGGGGCGAGCGGAGTCATTTTCAGACGGCGAGAGCATATCATAACTCAGAGTCCCATCGCCGGGGTGGTATAGGCACCCCAGGTAGAGGAAGGACAGATGTCCCACTTGTTATGAACTACCAAACCTTGCGTGATATCGGGAATCAATTTCCTCCTCTTGAAGGCGAGGCTGCCGGTGTTTGCTTTGCGCTATCGCAAAATCAGGTAACTTTATTGTTAATTAGTCTATGTAAATTGCGATGAGTTAACTAACCTTAGTGCTTCCTGCAGATGAATCAATATGCCGCCGAGATGGAGAGGCGTGTAGCGAGAGCAAGGGCAGAGGTTATAACAGCTCAACAAAATGTTGTACGCGTAGAGCATGATCTTCGTAATCAAACTAGGAAAGTGGAAGAAGCAAGGGGTCGGGCCAACGAGGTTGAGGCACTCCTTCGCGAAGTTCGAAATTGCCAAATGACTACTTTAGAGAGGCTACAAGAATTGGAAGCCTCAGGAGCAGCATTGCTCCAGGAGATGACGAGACTCAAGGAGGATCATGCAGCTGACCATGAAGTTCTTATGGCAGAGCGTGATGAAGCTCGTGCAGAGATAGTACGACTGCAACATCAAGTGCAACAATCGGTGGGGGAAACCTCAGGAGGTTCCATGCTCTTAGTGGGTTCACGTGACATTTTTCCAGAGGCGGAGTCTGACGAGGCACGTATCCCAAGAGAGGCGGATACCAGAATCGGAGGAGTTCCATCCGAGGAGGTGGTGATGCATCGTGATAACATGGAGATTGAGCCTTTCATTTCAACCCCGATATTTGATACTACTTCTGCGGATCAATCCTTTATTGAGGCAATGGATAGCCCAATCCCGTCAGAGCTGGCGATGTCTGCTGAGAATGCCTGGATGAATGAAATACTTGGCTTCGGTCCTCCTATGTGAGATAGTGTATCTTGCGGTGGTAGCAAAATTTTCTCTGTACAGGTAGTATCTTGCTCCGCAAAGGTATTCGGATATAT